TTTCTGGTACGTCTGGCCACCACCACGCCCTTGTCCTGGTTGCCGATTGAAGCCATTTACGGCGCCCCTCCAGGTTCCACGCAGGGGACCTGGTGCTGGCGCGTCTTTAAATTGATTACCTGAGCCCCCGGGTGCACCATACCCTCGCGTATGAAGGGGTAGCGTAGTTTGAGTTGGTCGCTTTTCCAGGCTCATCTTTGAATTTGCAATTACTTGCCTGTTGGTGACATTTAGTACCGAATTGGCTGGGACGGTCTGTCCCCGGAAAGGATCGCAGCGACCGCCTAAAGTTGTCCCATTCATGAACGCGTTGTCGCAGAGTATATCGAGCATGTGGTGATTCCCGACAGTGGTTATACCAACAACTGTACCTCTAGAAGCAATAGGTACCTTTCCAGATGCCTGTACATAGACAACCCGATCACCTAAGCTGAACTTCTGATTGCCGAGTCGTTGCGTAGCATCTTTCGGGTTAAGTAACGCGGATCGGGGAACACGCTTGAGCTTTTTAGCCTCGTGTTTTTCATTGGTTTCTCTTAGCGAATCTACCGCATTCTGGAGTTGCATGACCACTTCAGAGTCTAGTTGTTCGGCATCGAGAGGAACTCGTTCGAACTTACTGGTCTCCACAGTTTTGAGCCATGCGCCAATCTCCTTAATCCTAGCGGTGGCGACATTGGCGTCCGGCCAGAGTTGAGTTTCGTTGAGTTCGCTCCCTGACGGGTTCTGCATCACAGCAGCGAAGAAATCGGGGAAATGAGTCATATATTCTACTAGCAATTGAATCGCAGCAGGACTGAATTCCCACCCCGAATTTGATTTCCTCGAGTACCCTAAGACCTTCTGCTTCCTTCCCTCAAACTTGAGATTTAGTCCGAGATTGACCTTCATGCTACCGCCAATCGTATGAACGAAGAAAGATGAGGTGATCTTGCTTAAAACAAGTGGGTGAAGCCCCAAGTCTTTCGCAACGGCGTAAGATGGCCGATAGCCGCTTTGCTGTTCGGCGCGACGGATGATCTGCTGTGTGAAGTTTGGCTCTTTCACGGACGGGAAAGATACTATGATCTCAGCTTGATTGTCGTTGTGACTTGAGATCTGAAGAGGGCGCCCGTAGGCATAGTCCCCGAGAAAGAAAGAGCGTGATCCGACGGGGAACTCTTCCTCGAATGGTATTGCGGCCTTTTCAATGAACCGTTCGTCCTCGCTTACAACTTCGTCGACGATGACCTGTGCTGCGTAATCTGTTTCCATGCCTGGGATTGGGCCATATTCTTTAATGGTGGCACCCTCGTCCGTCTTAATGAGCCCCTTCAGCATTTCAACATGAACCATAGATTCGACGGGGCCAATAATAATGCCGAGTCGGCTACTATAGAAATTCTCAATACGAGAGGCCTTTCTATTCCAGTCGTCGATCTCCCTACCAGAATGATGAGTCTGTATCACTTGACCGGAACCATCCGTAGCTAATGAGTAGTCGAATAGTTCGTCTGACACACATGCGATTTTAGCCTCTTGCAAAAAGGGATAACCAACGTGGCATCTTTGCCCTAGCTTGACTTTTGCCGACTCAACTCTACTTCGGAGCTCTACGTCGGCTAGAGTTACAACCATGCTCTCGTTACGACTTTCCTGCTGGAAAACGTTTACTCCGTGGAATCCAAGGGTAGCATTGTAAGGTAGTGTAGCAAGACTAGGGAATCCTGCTAATGCATCCACGCCGACCTTTGTGCCATCGAGTAAGCCAACATATAACTCCAGCCCTTCTGTTGTGGGTAGGTCAAAAATATTTTCGACACAATGGCAGTGGGGAATATCGGGAAAGATCCCGACCATGGACGAGGGGTATATAAAGTCAATGTCAGGGTCGTATGTAAACTTCATTGAAACGCCAAAGCCGTTGCGAGCCTTTTCATCTGGTGTAAGAAGCTCATTCTTGGGCGCCATTGCAGACAACAGTCGCTTCTCGTCGATGAAGGGAATTTTGACAACTGCTTCCCATTCCATTTTCTTGCCATTCATGTCTAGTTCGAAGTCTCGTGGGTAGAAATCGATGATTGGTGATTTAGGATCTGTCATAAGCTCGTGATATACCGAAGGAACAATCTTCTTGCTTCGGTCTGGGAGAACACCCATGAGCTGTTCGAACGGTCGGAAGGGTTGACCGAGTTTGAATGTTAGATCTGCATTCATGCCTTTCATAATATCTAGATGGGCCGACTGTTAGCAGAGTCATTCGCTTTAGCATCGAGGTTGCTAGGACTTGCCGGATGTCATGGGAGAGTAATGATAACCATAAAACCATGGCCAAGAAGCTACTCCTTTATAGTAGTAATATAGCACCCATTGTAGGCCTTGGACGTAATTCTCGCAAAGCTTCGTCAGCTCTGTCTCCTTGACCTCCGGCGACCATTCGAATTTATTTGTATAATATTTGTCTTTCCACTCCAAGAACTTTTCCTTATACTTTACTTGTGCGGCCGCCTGGGCTTCTTCGGCAGAAGAGTCGACTACCTGAGCTTTGTCGTAACGTTTCATAACGCGAAACAAGGCCATATGGCCTTCTTCCTCTTCTTCATCATTTTCATCGCCGTCTGAATTTGTAGGAACTGTTAGGACTAGGTTGCGCCGTCCATCATCGTCTTCGATGGTGCGCCATTCAACATGAAGGCTATCGGCAGTGTCCTGTACAAATTTTCGGTCGGCAGCAATAAGCTCGTAGCCAAGGTTGAGAGGAATAGGCGGCTGCGTATTTATGAACGTCCTTATCTTCTTCCACAATTCCTTCTGAGAACTGGTCATGACGAGCTGTCCCTTCGCCCTGGCCGGCGCTTCGCCATTAGCTTCCACTGACTGTTTACCCTTGAGCCACCTGGAGTCGGCATTCTCATGCTCAAAAAATCGGTCTTCCTCCTTGGAAAGTTCCTCGAGTAAGAGTCCCAAGCGGCTGAGGTTGATGACCCCTCCCTCGTTGATGTAACCGTCGCACTGCGGGAGGACTTGTTTATAAATACGAAACATGGTCGCCAAAGCCCCTTCGTTAATATGAAGATTAGGCAGACTTGGAAGAAAGTCGTTACCAACGAAGAACGCCATAAGTATGAAATCGTCAATGATCCTCTCCATGTCGAAAGGTACTTTTATGGCTCCTTCCTTTTTCAACTCCTGGAACTCCAATTCAAGATATTCCCGAACTATACATAGGTGCATCAGGTAGAAATTTTGATGCTCTAGCTCCTTCGATTTCGTCTTAGAGGCGCGACCGAAGGTTACCTCTTCTCGAAGCAAGCAGAAATGAGGATCGTGGCTCAACAACCCTAGCATGATAAGATCGGCATCCAGGCCATATAAACAATGACGAACGTTAGGGTGATAATCGGGCTGGGCCTTCGCATTTCTGATGTACTCCATTATCTTGTGCTCTCCTTCGCCGGGTACTTCGTGACCTGACAGAACTACGTCGCAAACTTGCCAATCGGAATCCTCGGAGATCTTTTTGCTGATAAAGTACTTGAGCTGTTGGGTTAACTTGGCCATGAACTCGGTACCTGGCGTGATGCAATTACTGTCAAAGGGATCATCCTTTGGAAGTTCTTGGCCCTCTCGTATTGCCTTCTCGCGAGCCTGTTCAGCATCCAACGCAGTTCGGAAACGGCGAGCTCTCTGCTGGTTCATCTTCGCTCTGGGGGCTACCCCGTCAATAGCCATGAAGAACAGCTTCTTGGGCTTGATCTTGCCAAACAAGTGCTCAATATAGTTAAATATGCGAATGAACATTTCATCTTCGCTCAGGCGGAACGAGGTATCGTGGGTGTCTTTGTGGGTACAATTATGTATGATACCATTCATATCCAACTACGTAGGTTAGCGAACGACCACGAGAGAGGATATATTGGTGGGTAGCCGCACATAAAGGTTGTCGAATTCGGGGATGCGATTCTCAGCAATGAGTTGGGATATCGCAGGATATCGCTCTGAGAGCCATCTGAAGAACTTGGGAACACTAGACTGGGGTTAATACTATGCTTTAGAACTTGATCTCGAGAATGACTTATAACGTACCCCATTCTGACCTTAGTTGATCAATGGGAGTTGGTAGTTAAAAGGAAAGAAAGTTATAGAATGTGTACAACGCCACAAGACCGACGTATGATATGACAAATTTTTGTCTAACTCAGATCTCGTCCGCGAGGAACTACAATATACTGCTATGCGATCTGATGTTCTACTCGGTTCTGCTAGAAATTTTAACGAAGGAGGGGGCTTAAAGAAGTAAGGCGTTATATGGAATAGACGATATAGTTAAATTTTTGTCGAATATCGTCGAGGCAATGCATCTGGGGCAATGCAATACTTTTCGTTTTCGTTTGGCGGCGATAGACAGGTTACTGGTGACCTCGGTAACTTGAATGCGACGCGGATCTGTGTATGCGTTTTATGTGTGTAGTGTGTAGCTGTGATCTCGGCGACGAGGAGTCATTGACCGCGATTATGGGTTTTGTAGGTTAGTGGTGTCGTGGGCTGCGTGGATGCTGTGGTGGCACACAACCTTGTAGTGGGGATAGGTACGAGAACGTAGGTACCCGATAGCCTTACCCCAAAATTCAAGTCCACGTACTGTACAGGTCTAATGTACAACTTCAGGTACCTAACTTTACCTATTAGCTCCCCCGCATTCATTTGGCTGGGACATTCTTATTAGTACATATGTATGTACATACCTATGTACCTATGTACCTATGCATTTATAGAGATGTATTACATAATCCCATTCTATCAGATCCGGTGGCAGGCAAGAGGCGGTAGGTACAACCTTACTACCTTAGGTACCTAAGGCTAGGTTGCTGCCCGCTTCATGTAGGTACTTCTAAGTCTATACTTTACGCGCATCGCGTCCAGTCGCGAAATTCCTTCTGAACACTTAGCAAATATTCTAAGCTTAACTCCCGAAATTGCAATATCCCGTAATCGATTCTACAAGAAAATTTCAATTCAATATGGCTCCAGGCCCTGTTGTCGAGGATGTCGAAGGTTAGTATTTTCATTTCCCTTTTCCGTCATGTTCTCTTGTTTACTTTTCTTATGAATACCTATTGACGTAGTAGAAGTGGACATAGCCCAGGACTATGATGAAGACGAAGAGCAGAGACTCATCAATGAAGGTAGGCCATAATTGTATTCCGCAGCGACTAGTGCAATTCTTACGATTATTAGAGTACAAGACGTGGAAAAAGAATTCACCCTTTCTCTATGATATGATCTTGAGGTGAGCTTTTACATGACAGCACTAGTTAGTTCTTCCTGTTAACAAGTTACAGCACCGCTCTAACATGGCCTACTCTCACGGTTCAGTGGTTTCCCGACGTAAAGGAACCTGAGGGAAAGAACTGCCGTATCCACCGAGTCCTAATCGGAACGCATACCTCTGAGGGCAAGCCGAATCATCTCCAGATTGCCCAAGTCGAGATACCTAAGTCGGTTCGCCCTAATGCAAACGACTATGATGACGAGCGGGGCGAAATCGGTGGCTACGGCAAATCTCCGTCTACAGATGTTACCACAGCCATGAAATGGAGCATCGTACAGAAGATCGACCACCCTGGCGAGGTCAATAAGGCCCGTTACTGCCCTCAGAATCCCGACCTGATCGCGACATTAGCTGTCGACGGTAGAATCCTTATCTTCGATAGAACTAAGCATAGCTTCGAGCCCAACGGTAAGGTTAATCCTCAAATTAGCCTTGAAGGCCATAAGCAAGAGGGGTTTGGTCTCAACTGGAATCCTCATTCTGAAGGCGCTTTAGCGTCAGGAAGCGAGGATCAGACCGTCTGTCTTTGGTATGCTGCTTCCTTGATAACCTAACGCAGACAACTATTAAATCATACTAATAATATGAAACAGGGACCTTAAGTCGCTACAGAATGGCAGCACAACCCTCGGTCCTTCTCGCCGGTTCACTCATCACACTAACATTGTTAATGATGTTCAATATCATCCTATCTCCAAAAACTTCATTGGTAGTGTATCTGACGATTTAACTCTACAAATCATGGATGTGAGACAGCCGTCTAATACTCAATCATCTTTGGTTGCCAAAGATGGGCATAGCGATGCCATTAACTCACTAGCATTCAACCCGTCGACCGAGGTTCTCGTGGCGACCGCATCTGCTGACAAGACTATCGGCATCTGGGACCTTCGTAACGTAAAGGAAAAGGTCCATACGTTGGAGGGCCACCAAGACGCGGTCACCTCTCTTTCCTGGCATCCTCACGAAGCAGGCATTCTGGGCAGTGCTAGTTACGACCGACGAATCATCTTCTGGGATCTAAGTAGAGTTGGTGAGGAGCAACAACCGGATGATCAAGAAGATGGACCTCCTGAACTGTAAGTCTTTTGATATCATACGGAGAGACGTTGGCTAATACTTGGTAGTTTGTTTATGCACGGCGGTCACACTAATCATCTTGCCGATTTCAGCTGGAATTTGAATGACCCTTGGCTCGTAGCAAGCGCTGCTGAGGATAATATGCTCCAGATCTGGAAGGTTGCTGATTCTATCGTTGGAAAAGACGAAGCCGATCTTCCGTTGGATGAACTTGGTAGGTGAGCGAGGCGGGATGTGATAAAAAGCTATGACTTGAGCCCTACCGCTTAGGACATGGCGGGTTTTCGGGATCAACAGATGAAAGAAGAGGAGGCGAGCATACCCATACGGCCTATTAGAGCGTTGGCGAACTGGAGCACGTTAGTAGTAAATACTACTATTACTTAACCGCCAACTAACTTTCCAGTAGCTTTACTACATGGCTGGGGTTAGGATGACAGTGGATATCGGGAGGTGAAGGCTATTGAGCCCTTTCCTATCACAATAAAGCATTTAATAGGGGGCTTCTTTCGATCTGTACGATCCGAACGACTACAATTGTTTTCCCTTGGGCGTATATGGATTACGATCAAACCACTCTACATGCTGAACCAGTAAGATAATAAATAAACGTGCGGGAGATCTAAGTTGTTTACGCATGCTTTTCCAGACAGTTGCTTTTTCCTATCCTTATAGCTGTATCCTTATAGCTGTAGTTTAAGTAAAATATACCCGCCATTTCGGAACTACCTGCATGTATGTACTTGTGGTGCATATGCACTTCGCATATCGGTACGCTGAAACAAACCTTATCCAATAAAGCTTCCTTTAAGTGCTGCAAAGTACTTGTGTAAGTATACTACAAGGTAGGTAGGTACGTTAGATATTTACATGGGATGTGCGTAAGTGGGTACACTATTCTACCTGTCTTATGAGGTAGTGTACATAGGCTATCAATGTTAGGTAGGTTAGTAGGTAACTACATATGTACATACATGTTATCCGCCTGCCTGCAATGAGCCACCTTTACAGAAGTCGAACATTTAATATTTTTAATATTTGGCCAACTTTAACACTCCATACCTTACAACTAAATTATAATCTTTTTCCTCTCGCACTCCCACTACAAAGCTTCGTTATTAAGATTATTATGTCTCGAATTCGCTAAGGATTTTATAATATCTACGAGGCCTCATCAGATACCATTACGTGCACATTCGGGCAATTCGAGGCTATTCTGTCCACATCTGTTCTAGTAAGCTTTAGGTATTTGCATGTTGACTTTGTATTGGCCATTACTGCGAACGCCAGCCGGGTTCCGTATTTTCTAAGTAGCTCCTCTTAGGAGCATGATCCCAATGCGGGAATGCCGCCATTAAACTCGTACCGTCCGACCGAGCCGCCCGATTCCCCTGTAAACGACTCGGATTCAGATGTCGACCTGGATCTGCAAGAATTGGATCCTACCACCTCGTCGCATGCCTCCCGACTCCTTAGACGCAACGATAGTCCCGAACAGCGAGCGCCACGGATTGCGTTGAGAAATATTCGTATGGGCGGTCTAAGACGGGTGGGGAATCGAAGTCGCGGCTATGGCGAGCTTGGCCGCAGTAGGGATGGGAATGGTGACGCTGCAGACTTGCTAGAGGATGATATGCATGGGCAGCGTTACTCGGATGGAAGTCACCATGCCGGCGATGAAGCTCCCCTTTTAGACGAATATGCGCCTCGCCCCCAGAGACGGTCGTTCGCCAGTGATAGACTCCATGGTCTGGCTCATATCGGCTCTTCTTTAAGGCTACCTAGTTTTATGTCAAGCACAGGCTCAAATCGGCAAGATGACGACACGGCCAATGATAATAGGGAAGACGACCCTTCGACGTCGAGGATCGTTGCCGTTGGTTCTCTTCAATCTATACGTTACCCGCCAAACCTCGTCTCGAATGCGAAATACACAGCGCTCACATTTCTTCCTATTACTCTCTATAATGAATTTTCTTTCTTCTTCAACATGTATTTTCTACTAGTGGCCTTATCGCAAGCCATTCCAGCCCTGAGGATAGGCTATTTATCCACGTATGTTGCGCCGCTTGCGTTCGTTCTTGTTATCACAATGGGAAAGGAAGCATATGATGATATAGAGCGGCGTCGGAGAGACAATGAAGCAAACTCCGAGGAGTATGTTATCCTACAGTTTAGAGAGCCAGACCATCAAAACTCAGCCTCCCGCCATCCCAGAAAATTTAAACCAACATCCTCACAGAAAGCAGATCGCCAGCCACTAACCCAAAGGGACCGGTTGTCAGATATCCAGGAAGAAGAAGAACAAGCGGAAGGCCAAGGTCTAGGTTACCCATCGTCCTCTGTACAAGAAGTTAATAGGAAATCCCGAGATCTTAAGGTTGGCGATGTTCTCAAGCTTAGCAAAGGCCAGCGCGTTCCTGCTGATGTTGTTATCTTGAAATGCTCGACACCGGAGAGTCCACAAGCCCAAATCCGGGATAGTGAAGACGTAGAGTCAGAGTCGTTACTGGTTAACCCTTTTGACACAGATGCCGACCAAAATAATTCTTCTCCTGGAAAAGGGAAGAATCCCGAGGTTGTCAGTTCGGATGCCTCTGAAGGTACATCCTCTGGAGAGACATTCATCAGGACAGACCAGCTTGACGGTGAAACGGACTGGAAACTTCGTCTTGCGTCCGTCTTAACTCAAACCTTACCTGTCGAAGAGTTTGTCCGCATCAAGGTAATCGGTGGGAAGCCGGATAAAAGGGTCAACGAATTTGTTGGTAAGGTCGAGCTAATGGCGACAAAACACGACGTCCTGAATAACCAATCCGATGAAAGTAGTATAAGTGATAGGGGCAATTCTGCTCCCCTATCAATTGATAATACTGCCTGGGCAAACACTATAATCGCCTCACAAGCAACTACTATAGCTGTCATCGTCTATACCGGACCGCAGACACGATCGGCGCTTTCCACCTCGTTATCACGGTCCAAGACGGGACTACTAGAATACGAGATCAACTCTTTGACTAAAATACTATGCGCGCTCACGCTGGCACTATCCGTTATTCTCGTAGCCTTAGAAGGATTCAGTAATACCGAAGGCAATATCTGGTACGTGAAGATCATGCGATTTCTCGTATTATTCTCGACTATTGTCCCGATCAGTCTTAGGGTCAACCTTGACATGGGAAAGAGTGTTTATTCGTGGTTCATTCAACGAGATCCTGGTATCCCGGGCGCGGTAGTCCGGACCAGTACGATCCCGGAGGATCTAGGGCGCATCGAATACTTACTCAGTGATAAGACGGGAACTTTGACTCAAAATGAGATGGAAATGAAAAAAATACATGTGGGTACTGTGTCCTATGCCAACGAGGCAATGGACGAAGTGGCGGCGTATGTAAGACACGGCTTCATCGGAATGCCGAATGATACCGCGCTCGTCACACCTTCGTCTTCTTACAATACGACGGCAGGGGTCACTGCCACCAGAACACGGCGGGAGATCGGATCCAGGGTCCGGGATGTTGTTCTAGCTTTAGCTCTTTGTCACAATGTGACTCCTACCGCTGAGGAGGAAAATGGGCAAACAGTCACTTCATACCAAGCTTCTTCCCCAGATGAAATAGCTATTGTACGATGGACCGAATCTGTCGGTCTCCGCCTTGCACACAGAGACCGCAAGAAGATGGTCCTTGAATCAACAGAGACGGGAAAGATTGTCGTGCAGGTTCAGATTCTGGACATATTTCCCTTTACTTCCGACGGTAAGCGTATGGGTATAATTGTTCGATTTCACGAGCAGTCGAAGCCTTTTCCCTCGAGCTCAGATAATGGAGAGATATGGTTCTACCAGAAAGGTGCTGACACGGTGATGGGGTCTATTGTGGCTGCGAATGACTGGCTAGATGAGGAGACTGCGAATATGGCCCGGGAAGGCCTAAGGACTTTGGTGGTTGGACGAAAAAGGATATCCTACGAACAGTACCAAGACTTCTCGACTAGCTACCAGGAAGCTTCTTTGGCGATCAGCGGCCGTAATGCTGGAATGCAACGTGTGATCTCGGAATTCCTTGAGCGTGATCTTGAACTCTTGGGCGTCACCGGTGTTGAGGACAAGCTTCAGAGGGACGTAAAACCGTCTCTGGAGCTACTTCGAAATGCCGGTATCAAAATATGGATGTTAACAGGCGACAAAGTTGAAACGGCAAGATGCGTTGCTGTCAGTTCTAAACTTGTTGCGCGCGGACAATATATATATACGGTTGCCAAACTCAAGCATAAGGATAATGCACAAGACCATCTCGACTTCCTTAGAAGCAAGACTGACGCCTGCTTACTAATTGACGGTGAAAGCTTGATGCTTTATCTGACGCATTTCAGAGTCGATTTTATTTCAGTGGCTGTGCGACTACCAACAGTCGTTGCTTGCAGGTGCTCGCCCACGCAGAAGGCCGACATTGCGAAACTGATCAAGGAGTTCACTAAGAAGCGAGTTTGTTGCATTGGTGATGGCGGGAATGATGTCTCCATGATCCAAGCCGCAGATGTGGGAGTTGGTATCGTCGGCAAGGAGGGACGACAGGCCAGTCTCGCAGCAGACTTCTCCATAGAGCAATTCTGCCACCTCACCAAATTGTTAGTGTGGCACGGTCGAAACAGCTACAAGCGAAGCGCCAAGCTCGCCCAATTCGTCATTCATCGTGGACTTATCATTGCTGTCTGTCAGACCATGTATAGTATTGCCATTAAATTTGAACCAGAGGGCTTGTACACGGTACGTTTCTTCCATACCCCCTTTTTATACAATGACCTCGTCTTACAGTCTACAGGATTGGCTTCTCGTGGGATATGCCACCGTTTATACAGCAGCACCGGTACTCTCTCTCGTTCTAGATAAGGACGTAGATGAGAATCTGGCGAACCTCTACCCCGAGCTCTACAAAGAACTGACATCTGGCCGTTCCTTATCTTACCGTACATTTTTCGTCTGGGTCTTCGTGTCAATATATCAAGGCGGCATGATCCAGGGCCTATCCCAAATACTTACCGAAGTCGATGGTCCGAGAATGGTAGCTGTTAGTTACACGGTCCTCATCCTAAACGAGCTCCTAATGGTGACAATTGAGATCACGACCTGGCACCCGGTCATGATCATGTGTATTGTTGGAACTTTCCTTTTCTACGTCGGATCGATGCCGTTCCTAGGCGGATACTTTGATCTTGACTTTCTTCTTAGCTGGTGAGTACTCTTTTCCCGTCAGTGCCGCTAGAACGGCTAACTGATCTATGTTGTGACAGGGGCTTTCTCTGGCGTGTATTGGCCATCGGTTCGATCTCTCTAATACCGCCGTACGCCGGGAAGTTGATTAGGAGAACCATGAAGCCGCCCTCGTATAGGAAGGTCCAGGGCATATGATAATATGTCTATAGAAAGAAAAGAGCATTGGCTAGGCGTCTATGGGTTAGGGCTCGTTATTTTATTTTATTTTTGCCCCTACATGTGACTATAGTTAAGTTTCACGTGCATAGAATTGTCTTACAAAGGGGTTCCAAGGATGCGATTAGAGATGGACTAACCCGTCGTTTCCTCATCTATTCCCCTTACTGCTTGCTATCTTGGGGGGGGTTAATATATATATATATATATATTTCTATGAGAAAATTAGGTTGGTCAAGATGGAAAACCCCCGCAGCGGGTAAATTTGGCGGCGCATATGATTAGTTGTATCGAAGCTGTACCTAACACAGGTGCTGAATGGAAGTCAAGATTTGAGTGGAGCTATCCTTTTTATCCCGCAATTAGGTTCGCGGGCACCTAAGTAATTGACTTGCAGCCCAGCTCCCCGCATTACAGGCCCATCCACATATATACTAAGACGGGTTATGATGGACTAGGTACATACATTTCGTCATACTGACTAAGCAATTAGTTTCTCTCTATCTACAAAGTACTGGTTAAAGCAAAGATGCTAATAGCATAACTAGTTTGTACAAATTATTTTTTATATTTTTAAATATTTTAAATAGGAGAGATATAATATTAGGTTAATTTGTCTACATGCGGCGTGGAGAGAAGCAATAGAGGGGAAGCCTTTAGCAAGAACTTGATATCCACCCATCGACGCACGCATCCACTGAGTACATATCATACCTTTTCTTATCAATCCTGTGGCGAGCTGGAGCTCGCAGCCCCACATCATGCGTCCGCCAATTTTTAAAGTTTCCAAATTATATAGATCCGTATTATACCCCAAACAACGGATAATAGAGACATCCAGATCCTAAATTCTCAGTCTTGCTAGAAGAAGGGAGATTCGTAGCGGATCATCGGCCCATATTTACGTATAGAATAAGGGGGGATCACGGCGCTATTTTCTCGTTGCGGGATAGGTCTGCATACTTAGAATAACTAGCAGTTAGGCCTAATTTGTCTATGTAGGGATCTCGCCTTTTTTTTTTCTTCGCATCCCTGTACATGAGACTGCGCAGTGTGTGTGTATATACATATATACTGCTAATGGAACATTTTGAGCACGACTTAAATACCTAGCTGCCGCTCTAGCAACTCAAGATATTACATACATAAACAACAACGAACCCAACAACTTGCAAATGTATGCCTAATATGTAGGCAATACCTAAGCTCCCAACTACATATGTACATACTTAATATTTAATACCTAATACCTAATACCACACTACCTGAAGCATATTGTAAAAAAAAGCTGCTTAAGCTGTCAAGATGCAATAACGGCTTCTGGCGTCATAGGTTCGGTTCCCGCATATTTAGCGGCAAAGTTTTCTTTAGATCTATTACTAGGTATTTCGTTATTTTCTCTCTGGGGGAAACTTGGAGTTGCGCGGAGTTATGATGGCAAAGCTTGCAGGCTTGCGGGATTGCGGGTCTACCTAATGGAGTAGCGATGGAGAGAGGTACATATGTAATACGTACATAGGTACTAAGGACTAAAGGTACTTATTTAGACTAAAATTTCACTAAAAGCTGCTTATAGGTAAGGATGTCATGCGATCGAGAAAAAATTAAGTCTAACCTTGTTAAGGTAGGAAGGTACCCTAAGCCAGTAGGTAAATTCCTTGTTGCCCAGTGTACGCAATGATGCCAAACTACAAAAAGCGCCTCTATGAATTCTTCATTGAGACCATGCATAGAAGTTCTGTTCTGGTCCCCGTTCCATGTTCCCAATCTCCACATCAGAATTCGAATAACATCTTTTTTCCCTTTGCTCCCCCTCTTAAGTTTTGTTCATCTCCTTCTCCTCATCCATATCAGTTTATCCTATCGAATCTCGTAACACCGCGAGGTCTCTAAGCTATTAGCTACTAGCTCGAGGTTTGTCTCGAGGTTTGTCTCGAGATTTGTTTGGATACTTCAGGTGAGAGCTATCTCAATCCGATCTATTTGCGCCAGAAGTCGAGGGAGGCTTGTTATTTATTTATATATTTATTTCATACCTAAAGCTAACTACGTCAAATTTGTTAAATATAGTTTACAGGTTTCCCTTATATTCCCTTTAGTAACACCTCGTTGCTCCTTGTACCTTCGAATCTACTACGCCAACCACCTCCAACCACCACAATGGCTGAAAGCGGGGAGAAAGCTACCCGCGAAGTGAAGAATCACATACTCTTCGAGATCGCGACCGAAGTAGCTCATCGCGGTATGTCGTAGAAACACCGCCGTAAGCTTCCATATTCTCTAAACTAACATGAAACTCAGTTGGCGGTATATACTCTGTCATTAAATCTAAGGCGCCCGTTACCACCGCCGAGTATGGCGACCGATATACACTTATCGGCCCTCTCAACCATCAATCAGTACGTCACTTTCTTTTTTCTTTTTTTTTTCTTTCAGCGTAGCTCCCAACACACTCCTCTAACCAAAACTAGGCCGCTGTCGAGGTTGAAGAGCTAGAGCCAAACACGCCAGAACTCGCTGCCAGTATCGAGGCCATGAAAAACCGGGGTATTGGTATACTCTATGGACGATGGCTCATCGAAGGAGCTCCTAGAGTACTATTAATCGACACCAAGACAGCATATAGATATTTGGATGAGTGGAAAGCAGACTTGTGGAATGTTGCCAGTATTCCGGCCCCACCAGGCGACGATGAGACTAATGAGGCAATTGTCTTTGGATATTTAGTTGCCTGGTTTCTAGGAGAGGTAGGTTTTTTCTCTCGCCCGTTCGGCTTAGGACCTGACTAGCTGACTGTTTTCCCTCCCATATAGTTTGTTTGTCATGAGAAGACTAAAGCCGTTATTGCTCACTTTCACGAATGGCTTGCTGGTGTCGCATTGCCGCTAACTAAGAAGCGGCGCATAGATGTCACCACCGTCTTCACTACACACGCAACTCTTCTAGGCCGCTATCTTTGTGCTGGTTCTGTCGACTTTTATAATAATCTACAGTGGTTTGATGTCGATGCGGAAGCTGGGAAGCGTGGTATCTATCACCGTTACTGCATAGAACGCGCTGCTGCACACTCTTGCGACGTCTTTACCACTGTCTCACATATCACGGCTTTCGAAAGTGAACATTTGCTCAAACGTAAGCCGGATGGTGTGCTGCCCAACGGACTTAACGTCACCAAATTCTCGGCCATACATGAGTTCCAGAATTTGCACCAACAGTCTAAGGAGAAGATCCACGACTTTGTCCGGGGTCACTTCTATGGCCATTATGACTTCGTGCCGGAAGATACCCTCTATTTCTTCACTGCTGGACGTTATGAGTTCCGAAATAAGGGTGTCGACATGTTCATCGAGTCGCTTGCGCGTCTTAACCACCGACTAAAGTCCTCCGGAAGCAAAACAACTGTCGTAGCATTTATAATCATGCCTGCGCAAACTACCTCGCTGACAGTAGAAGCACTGAAGGGTCAGGCAGTCATCAAGTCCCTTCGCGACACTGTCGACGTGATCGAGCGCGGGATTGGTCGTCGTGTCTTCGAACGGTCTTTAAGGTGGCATGACGGAGATCCGATGCCTGATGAGAAAGAGCTTATCACAAGCGCCGATAGAGTTGTTCTCCGGCGCCGTCTCTTTGCTATGAAACGGCACGGCCTACCACCCATCGTCACACACAATATGGTCAATGATTCGGAAGACCCTATTCTAAACCAGATTCGACGGGTCCATCTTTTTAACCATCCAACAGATCGCGTTAAGATCATTTTCCATCCCGAGTTCCTCAATTCGTCTAATCCAATCCTACCTCTAGATTACGATGACTTCGTTCGCGGCACAAATATGGGTGTTTTCGCTTCTTACTACGAACCGTGGGGCTATACTCCTGCCGAGTGTACTGTTATGGGTGTTCCCAGTATCACCACTAACCTATCTGGCTTTGGCTGCTATATGGAGGAGTTGATCGAGAACTCGGCCGACTATGGTATCTACATTGTGGACCGACGCAACAAAGGTGTTGACGACTCGGTTAATCAGCTTGCCTCACACATGTTCGATTTCTGCCAAAAAAGTCGGCGGCAACGGATCAACCAACGCAATCGAACTGAGAGACTTAGCGACCTCCTAGATTGGAAGAGGATGGGAATGGAGTATGTCAAAGCCCGGCAGTTAGCCCTGCGACGAGCGTACCCAGGATCATTTTCCGGCGACGATGAGGATGACTTCATCCCCGGAGTTGAACAGAAGATATCACGACCCTTCTCGGTCCCCGGCTCTCCTCGGGACCGTACGGGCATGATGACACCTGGTGATTTCGCGAGCCTGCAAGAAGGAAGGGAAGGCTTAAGTACGGAAGACTATGTGGCATGGAAATTACCGTAAGTAAACCAAGAACATGCGAGTTGGGATATTGTAGCTAACCGATGATGATGCAGGGAGGAGGAAGACCCAGATGAGTACCCGTTCCCATTGACGCTCCGAACGAAGAAGTCGAACGTCTCTGGATCAGCATCGCCTCTCCAGCTCAACGGGAACCACTAGGGACTGGTAAGCATTGGATGCTCGGGATAAGAACTGCGCGTTTCCGAGAGATTTTGACAAGCTAGTATGAGGTATTAGGTTGTGGTTGGGCTGCGGTCGGTGTGGCGGGAGGGAAGATGATTGGCGGGTGCATATGTATATATCCTTTGGTTGGAGGACCCGACAACAGAAGGTAACCATTGGATGTTGTTTTATAGTGATTGCATAGCACCGCATTAGCTGGCAGTTAGTAAAAATTATATATTACCCCTGTTTATATAATGTAACACTACTTTTAACGTTTAAAATTTCTCTTGAGATTACTTTTTTTTGTCTTCCATCCCATCAATATGAGGTATGAGATAGGAGTTAGGTATGTTATGTTAGGTTAGGTGTGTTATGTTAGGTTAGGTGTGTTATGTTAGGTACCTTAGGTGGGTAGGTATAGGCGGGTATTCATAAATTCATGAAGGATTATGAAGAAGTACATAATCACTACGCTGGTGGGTCCGACATCCAGGTACTTATATGCAACTTATATGCAGATATATGTCAAAGTACATGTATCTCGAGCATGTATCTCAGGCAGATTATTTGAGATAAGGAATAACGGATAGTTGAATATGATGTATCTTCGGATGCAGGTACCTGAAGTATCTGAGGTACCCATACCCCAGTAACTATGTACTGCCGCCCTTTAATTCCCCACTCTCTCGCTTTTAAACAAAGCGTCGCGAGCCTCGAGATGCATTCATTGTAAGCCAACCATTGCCGTTGCCGTGTACGTCCTTTTCTCCTACAACCGTCCAATGCACGCAGGTAGCCTTCCCGCAGGAGGAACACATGTGGTCCGAGTATGTGAAACAGACGTATGTATGTCTTTAGGTGTCTTATTAATTGAGCTCTAACGAAATCAAGCAGCGAGGCTTTCCCTTGCGAACATACCTACATATTATTTAACCCTAGCCTGGCTTCGCGATGAAGTTCAAGAAGTTCTTTCGACGTAGCAAGAAGCCGTCGCAACAGCTTCAGCCACCTAATATCCCTACTCGTGACGACTATAGGAGGGATGAGTACAACTCATATAACCCCCGCCAGAACAATTATGCCAGCCTGGACCCTCAGAGGGGTCGCGTATTCGCGCCATGGCTAGAGCTGCCCCCTCCCATATTGGAGAGGGTATTCTCTTTCGTCTGCCCGCATTGTTGCGACGAGTCGTATGAGACATGTGAACAAAGCGCCTTGGAAGATGCCTGCATGCTTTGCGACCTGCGTGATCTCTCCCACGCCGGCCAAGTATGCAAGCGCTGGAGGGTAGCGGCCGTCAAGTCCATGTAAGTTCCCCCTAGGTAAAATGCCTTTGGCAATTGAGAAGATAAATGTGGATAAGTTCGTTGCTGAGACTCGCGGGCTTTCGCTGCGGTAGGTACCATAGTATCCGTATCGATTCCGTGCATTACTGCGAACGTGAGATCGACCTCTCCGAGAAGCGGAAACGTAGGAGTCGTTTCGATCGCAATGGCCTCCCCGAGGATACCGCCAGCGCTCGGCTTCAATTGCTGTGCCGCTCCTTGCGCGAAGACCCAACCCGCCTTGGCAAGCTCGTTCAATACTTCAAGACTCCCTATATGCTGCGAGAATCGAGTAGCTCCACGTTGGCGAGGACCATAGCCGTCTTGCCCAACCTCCGTTACGTCGACTTGCCTGAGGGGCTGTACTGCGACGATCCGGCTTACCATACTCTCAAGCTCGAGGTGCAAGCCCGCTGTCCCGACCTCAGGAAGATGGCCTATACTAGCGGTAGCGAGCGAAGTTTGGAGGCGTTGAGCACTGGTACCTTCTGGCAGAACCTCGAAGTGTTGGAGTTGACTAGGATCAATATGGATCCGGCAGCGTTGCGCCACGTGCTGGCGGTGCTTCAGCGCCTGCGAGCTCTAAAGGTGTCTGATTGCAGGATCATAGATGACGACATATTCAAGTATAACGACGTGCTACCGGCCTTTCCAGCTTTAGAAGAAGTGATCTTGATAGATACACCAAGGGTCACTTCCGACGGCCTTGTAGCGTATTTGTCTAGGGAGGACGCACAAAGGCAACTAAAGGTGCTGTCTCTATCCAACACCGGTGTCCAAGCCCCTGGCCTTCACGCCGTATTAGCGCATGCTCCAAACCTGACGGCGCTCTCTGTTATTGATCAGGTCGATTCAGCGTTTCCATCTCACTCTGGGCCCATCCCTCCCTTAGTCAATTGGTCCTTGCAGACCTTACGCTACGAGATCACGGCGTCATCAACTACCCCTGCCTACGTAGGTGTCACGAGCGGTTATTATAACTACCTAGCCTCCTCCCTTTTCGCCGGAGGTTTACCACGTCTCTCCGCTGTGTACGTTCGCGATCAAAACTTCGCGGACCTCCTCCTTGGCCTTCCGCCGCCCATGCCCGGCTTTGCGGGAGGACAGCAACGTCCCAGTAGTTCAAGCAGCGCCAAGATGTTCAACATGGGAAATGGCCTCCCTTCGCCGGGACTGACAGGAGGTTTCGGAAACGTACCCCCACGCTTCAGCTCTAATAACCCCTTTGCTGCAGCACTCAACCCATCACAGTTTGGAGCGCAGCAGCTCAATCAGCCGCTGGAAGTTTTTACGAAAGGAGAAGATGATCTTGATTGGGGAAGTATTAGAAGTAAGTATCTATGACTGATTTTATGAATACCCTCAGATCGCGAATTAACAATCCTAACCCTTCCTACAAATTGATACTATTTAAACCTCATTGCCACAAGAATGCTTCCGTAATTTGCAAACGCTAACTATCTGCTTTCAGTGGACCCCTTCGATGCCTATAGCGGTGGGGGTAGCGGGCGCAAGGGCCACCGCAGTAATGGCTCCCTGAGTGGCCGGCCCTTGAGTAGCTATGGCCTTGCGGATATAGGTTCTGGGTGGCAAGCCGGTGGATCTCGAAAGGGCTCGCTTTCTCAGGCAACCAGCCCTGTAAGTTATCTGGCTGTGCCGGGCGGTCATGGACGTAGTGGAAGTACTGCAAGTTCGAGCAGCCTCAGAGACGATGCATGGCCTCGGCCCGGCAGTAGCCACGGAAAGAAGAAGGGAGACCGGGACTTATGGCGTTAAGTTGAAAACTAATTGGCAAACAAAATGGAAAAAAGAAATATTTTTCCGAGGTCACCAGGATGATAATAGCTATTTGTCGATTTCGGTGTCGGCAAAGTGTGTACACAATTGAGCTTTTCAGTAGCAGATATCAAGATTCTGGAGCTGGTAGTTAAGTCGGCACGGCGGGGAGGCGACGTCGCCTTTGTGGTAGTCATGAAATAAGGATAATGCTGTTATGATACCGAGAATTGTTAGCTACATATGTAGTGTTCATTCTATATAGAAGGCTGGCCGCAGTTATATAAGTGCTATATTACAGGCCTATTCTTAGATTTTATACTTTTCCTACCTTGTAGTAGTGTGAGTGGTACTTCCTATGATGCATTGGTCGTGTATTAATTATCTCACTATAGTCTACTTTATCTTTATGTCTAATTATCAGAAGAGCAGGACTGCTAAGTCTCAAGAAATCCTACTAACTTCTAAATTGCCCTGTTTGTCACCCCCGAGCTCCAAAAACCCACCTGTCTCTAATTTCTTCTTCCACTTCGCGCTCTCGTACCTTGCCAAAATTACTGTCATACGTAGTATAGTCTGATGGCTGGAGCTGTGCTCAACCGTCTCCGGCTCGAGTGATGTAAATGTCCACCTCCCAAAGGCCCAGTTCAAAATATACCTGCCTGGATGATCCGACGGCGTTGTCGATGCTGCGGGCTCGTCTTCACCGGAGCCCCGGACTTTCGAAGATGCTGTTAATACAGATTTGATCCGATATACTTCGTCCTTGGGCGCCGAGTTTAGTAGAGCCATTAGCTTTGTCGCATTGACGGCGCTGCCTGTCTTCCCGGAGAGGGCGACTGATAAAACCTCCACCTCGCTCTGGTGACTATGGCCATCGTCGTGGTCTTCGTCGTGATTATGTGAATGATCGCTATCCTTCCTCACCGGTTCTTCCGTCAATGTCCTCGCCAATCCACCATCAATACCAAATATGACATCAACAGGAACCCGACCCTTATCGCTCTTCACCCACGCAACATCGACCTCAAGATCGCCCACCCGATCGCGACACTCATCAAACCTGCGCTCATCGCACGTCTCCCACTTATTAAAGACAATCAGATCTGTATACCGCGCCTGTATGCGCGCCGTATAACTGGTATCCTCATATCCGCCCCAATTCTCAACATCAATCACACTAACCACGCCATCAAGCACATACTGACCCCCCGTCTCGCGCGCCAGCCGATTCACCTCGATAGCAAGCGTAGCCGGGAATGCGGACCCAGAAGTCTCGATGACGATGCGGTCGGGGTGGACTGTGTCGCGCAGCTCGGCGAGAGCGGTGCTTAATTGTCCAACAAGGTTGCAACAGATGCATCCGTTTAACAACTCCTGGACTCCGGAGACAGCGCTCGAGGATGCTAGCTGCGAGTCGATAGCTACGTCGCCGAATTCGTTTTTTAGTAGGGCGAGGCGGTAGGCGGGGTTGGCGGCGCGGAGCTGAGGGATTAGATTCAATAGGAGGGTTGTCTTTCCCGACCCCAGGAAGCCTGTTATGATGGTTATAGGAATTGGGGCCATTCCCGCGGGTACGACGGGATTGTATAGAATGGTGGGTTAAAAAGGCGATGGGGAGATAAAATATACCTAGATACTACCTAGGTATATAATGTAAATGTAAATATAAATACCTCTTAGAGTACCTAACCGTGGGGTAGGAGGGGTTCATTGGTTATTAATAGCGCGTATTTAAGCTCAAACTAAGGGAATTGACGTACATGGCATGTATACTACCTAGGTATGTTGCATTTTTGGTAAACTACATCTACCCCTAGTCTACCCCTAGTCTACCCCTAGTCTACCCCTAGTCTACCCCTAATCTAAGTACATGTAGCTTGTTGGGTAAGTGCAACTACCTATCTTTGATACTGCGAGAAGGTGTTACGGAACTAGATAATGGGATATTAGGAAATTGCCGGGCTTTGCCCAGTATTGGAAAACTTTACACAACCAACATCATTTCTACCTTCAGAAGTATTAATCAAACAGCATCGCATTAAGATAGACGTCGTTAACTACTAAAGCAATCCTTATCAACTACCTACAATTAGGCAGCCCGGTTTGGAAAGCCTTCGTCTGCTGGATATATAATGGCAAGTAGTCTTGCGTCGTGAAGTTCGCATCAATGTAGTACGAGACATCGCTAGAGCTATAGTTGGAGCCGAGAATCGCAAGAAGATCACTCTCGATGCTGCGCAATAGGAGTCAGCCTAAACTAAACCTTTCAACCCAGATCGTGATTCATATAATTGTATGGAAACTTACAAATCAACAAACACGACATCAACAACATCTGCCGTTTGGTTGTCACTAAATCCAGCTACGCCTTGAAAAAAATCGGGGATTTCGTAGTGCGGAATCTCGGAATGCACGGTGTCGTCGCCATCGGTGCCGAAGTCATCCTTGGTCGTATAGCCGGTGGTCAGGTCGACGACTTGACGTCTCGTAACCGTGGGAGATTCGTGATTGAACGCACGACGCTCTTCACTCATAAGTTCGGTGAAGTAAACAGGGATAGGGTCGACGCAGATGTCGCGTTCAACGGGCACAATGCCAACATTACGCTTCCGACTGGCACCAGCATTGTTGAGTGACTCGGTTAAGTTTCTGGCCAGGGCGTAGGGCACCTCTGGGATGTACAAAAAAATGTCACGGAACGGCGAGACGATGAACTGATCGTCATAAGTGAAAGGCCCCTTGTACATGTCGAACCGAACGCTTCCCGTGTTGGCAATGATATATCGCGGTATATCTTTACGCGATTCGTTTACGACACCCCCGGCTAATGCGTCAGACAGCAGAGGAAAGATATTTCCCGAGGCATTGAATGGTACGCATGTCATGCAATAGTCCTAATCATGCGAGAAAGTCAGTCGATATGCGTTTCATGTAATCCTATGTATAAATAGGGATCAACTATTTTGAATTCGCGCCCCACGAGGACAAGGGGCCTCTAGCATTGTAAGTCAGGGGGACGATAATCGGTGACGACTGACCTGAGGAACACATCCATACACAACGGTGAGGTTAAGTTGCTTCCTGTCATTCGTAATATCCTCTGTAACGTCCAAACCGCTATGATAGTCGAAGCTCTTATTGTACAGCGTCGCAGCATGGTACTCAAAGGTTCGACGATTCCAATCAAGGTAACGACGGGAATATACGAACGGAGAAGTAGAATTCTGCGTTGCTTTGCGAGTTGGATTAGGGACACCGGCAGGGCTACTGTTTTTACTATTGAATCCTGACATCGAGAGCCAACCGAGTGTTTCACAATATCGGCCTGGGAGAGGCATGAGAGTCTGGTCAAGAATAGGCATGCTTCACCTACCTGACTCAAGCGCTGTGCTACTACTATCAAAGACAGCAAAATCCCGAATATGACTATGGCCTCCTATATCGCTGTTAGCCACGAATCTATCTCCTCTTAGAGACAATACAAACCGATAAACTGAATAGGAGTATCCGGGTGTACTGCACGAATCGCGTCAAAGATGATAGGGAAAGTGCTCGCTTTATCAGTCGGTCGGGCAGGGTTGTGACCTAGAACGACGAAGATATCCACAGGCTCCTGGCAATGAAGGGTATCTAGAAACCATTTCTGTGTAACCATGGCCTTCGCAGGGATGACTTTAGAGACATTCGCGTTGCCTGCCAGATGTTAGGATCATGTTTCGCGACAGCTGGGGTACATATCATCGTAGCGTCTTCTCACTGGTAAAGTCGAATAACACGCCAAAGGCCATGATCCGAAGCCCATGCTGGGTAGTGAAGTATCGGTGTGTGTTGCCGATATACTGCCACTCCTTCGTCTGCCGGTTGAGTATCTGAACGTTGGACGTGAGATACTTCTCGCCCCAATACGTCGATATCTCATCCAGAGCCTGGTAGGCAACGTCGGCAAGATATAACTCGTGGTTACCAATAGTTAGCAAGTCATACCGGGCCTTGTCAAATATCTTCATCGAAACCTCGCCGTCGGGCGTGGTAGCGTCGCTCAACCCAGCGCCATCATGTAGATCACCTGGACGCCACATAAGCATACTACAAATTAGCAGGACGTTGAGTTTAACTAACCGGTGTCTACTAAAAGTAGATCAACACCCATGTCGCCAGCTTGCTGTTTAAAGCGAGTCGAGAAGGAGACGAAGTCGCCCCAATCAGCGCCATAGTTGGCTTCCTTAAGGTGACCCTGTTAAAACATCAGTCGCTGTCAAGGGGGTTCATGGAGTTGATAATGCTATGTACCTCTAACCATCCGTGGGTATCGGTCTTACACATTGACCATTAGCAATGCTGTTTTCTAACTCATTAAACATCTAAGATGTACTCACGGTATGTAGGAAGTTTAGTTGGCCCCACTAGAGCATCTCAAATTAGCATTTCGCGTTTTTGTTTTTTAATTGCTTCTACTATAAGCAAAATACTCACCTCCAAAGCTCTCGTGGGTCCGTAGGTAGTATTTATCGCATCGGGTTGCATACGCTTCACATGTCGGACGTGCTCGACGACGTGGCCCACCGAGACCGAACAACCGGAGCATGCCACAACATTGCGGATGAAACCCAAGACCCCTAGTACAACGGCCGACTTGACGGGACACATCTTGGAAAGTCGATAGTGTAATTATTAAAGAGTGTGTCGAGTTCTTTCTTGGCGATCAAGAATAGAACAGCCAAGCAAGATCTTATATCCCGAAGAGTCGGGTAAGACATGGGGATTTAAATACTACAATTCGGATTAGGCTTGCCGGCTTACCTACTATGTTCATGCATGCACATGCAGATAGCGTAAATGCAGGGGAGGATGCAAGGTCATCTGTAGATGCACTACTACGTTACGGAATTCACCGAGATTACACTACGATGACACTACATACGAACGCCTCTTATCACCACCGCACAGCCTGAGAAATTGAAAAAAGAAGAAGAAAAAAAAAAACAACTGAATATCGCACGTAGTAGTAAATAGCCTTCCTAATAGAGTAGGTGGTTAACAGATAATTGAATACGCCTACGTATATATCACTAATTGCCAACCGCCAATCATCAATCACTAAGCTCCAACCTCTCAGTTCAGTTCGAGCCCCTCCAACTTCTATAGCTCAACTTCGACAACGTGTCTCGTCGCTTCTACTATATCTTGTCGAGGTGTTCCCGGATGCGTTCTTTCGCCGTCCGTAGGCTCCACCACTCCCATCTGCCGGGCAGCATCTCTCGCGCAGAGCGTGCCCTCTACCCTGCGAGATCTCGCCCGGTAAGCGTTGCTAGGAGAGTCATCCTCGAGGTAGAACTCCAGTCTTTCTGGTCGCTGGTCTAGCCGGAGTTTGCTATTGATATCATACTCGAGATTTCTGAGCGCTTGAGCAGCACGAGATTTATCTACTGTACCGTGTATGTAGAGTGATACGACCGTCCACGCTCGTGAAGTGCTATTTTCGTAGTCGCCCACGCTAATACCGAAGGCATAGAACACTCGGTTTCTTCGGCAGATATACTCTTCCAAAAGATCGTTTAAGTTATCCATTGTTAGAAGTAAATGGCCTAGAATTGACATGTTTGGGCACATTTGTATTTTTTATGAATTTTGATAATTCCAATACAAGCCAGCGGCATGATTATATAGAAAACGAATGTTGAGAACTTGAAACTCACGTTGCGTGTTACCTCTACGTAACTAGTATAATTAAGATGGTTATAATAGGTGAGCAATCAGACGCTTTGTTTGAATCTAAAGAACCTACCAAGTCAATGCTCTTGACACTAAGTACACTTAGGCTAAGGTGGTTAACACGAAGAGATAGCAGGAAAGCGAGGTCCAATAAAATAAAGGGATTGCCGAGTATATATACTATAAACACATCCGATTCACTTGAATAGCAATCACAAACAAAGAATTGTCAAGAACGGTTAGAAACATCGAATAAACCAGACCAGTAATGGTCACAAAGCCCTAGATTTACCCTGAAAAATCCCCGTTGTTATATGACGAACCCAACAAGTAACAGCAGATGAAGAAATAGAAACACCCGAGCCGTACACTATAACCCGTAAACGATATCCAAGAAATATAAGCCCAAATCTTACCCCGACATCCACAGGCCATAGAACATGAATGAATTACAGAAGGACGAAATGTCCGGCCACGACAATAAGCCCTATGACGACGGCGAAAGCGTTCTTGGGTGACGATGCGCCGGAGACGATATAAGGAGGAGTGCTAGTGGTGCCATTGTTACCTGAGCCGGGGCAACTGGGTCCGGCGCATGGGATGATAGGCTTAGGGTTGGAGCTAGGGCACCCGGGGCCGGTGCAAGGAACGGGGACTGGCTTGGGACCAGGGATGGGGCACGGGCCGGGGCCAGAGCATGGCATGGAGCCTGGGCCGGCTGGAGCGGGGCATCCAGGGCCAGAGCAAGGAACGGGGCCGGAACCAGTGCTTGGGCATTCGGGACCGTGGCATGGAGTAGAGCCGGGGTTGCCGCCAGGAGTATATTCTGAGCCTGGGTGAGGACACTCGGGTCCAGAGCATGGCATTGGCTTTGAGTCTGGGCAGCCGGGGCCAGCACATGGGACTGGAACTGGCTTTGGCTTGGGACCGGTGCCAGGGCAAGGCCCAGGACCAGAGCATGGCCCGGGGCCAGCAGGCATGGGATGAGCAGGTATAGGATGAGAGGGAACTTTGGTAGGGTAAGCACCCGGGTTGCCCATAGGGTAACCAGCCGGCGTAGCGGTGATGGTAGCAGTAACACCGTTGCCAGTAATGCCGACGGTGGGATACCCGGTGGGCTGAACACCCGGGCAAGTGATCTCGATGGCCGTAGCAGGCTGGCAGACGGGGCAAGACACAGTTGTTACGACAAATCCAGGAGGGATAACTGAGGGAACATAGTCGCTAGGCTTGCCAGTGCAAGTCTCGGTGACAGTGTAAGTGGCCATCCACTGACCTGTCTCGCAAGCTGCCGGCATGACAGTCTCATAGACGGTCGTGTAGCGGGTTTGGGTCACAGGCGACAGGGTAGTCTTGGTGACAGGAGTCAGGATTGGGGTCAATGCAGTCGAAGTGCAAGACAGGAACTTGGCAGTGTTGGTAACATTAAAGTAATGCATCTTGGCGGTTAGGTGTGATTATTTGACTGTTGTCTGGATGAACGAGTGTGTTATAGTTGGTGTGAAATGAATGTGGTAGCCGAGATGGCAGGTAATGAATGACTGTGAGTGAGTAGTAAAGAGTGACTGTAGTGAATGAATGACTGATGATTGCTGATGATGTTTCTAAAAAGCTTTCTTGATAGACAGGATGATTGATCATTTTTATAAGCAATAGTCGTAGCTAGCATCGCGAACTTCATCGCGAACTTAGACGCGCGTTGAAGTAGTAGGCATATTTTGTCTTTAGAACCCATAACAAGATTGTAATTCCTATTAAGACTGATCTACAGGTGGAAGAATGGCTCAGAATTGTAAGGCATTCCTCTCTAATCCATCATAGCTCTGGCTAATAGGAACTTGGTGTATGGATAGGCGAAGCTTGAGACATTCAGTTGAGACTTGCCATGCTTGCTTGAGTCACTCATTTTACATTACCTACACATATCAAGTCAACAGCAAGAATCAAGGCGTTCAATACATAATGATGATCAACTCAATGCTTAATATGCTCATCTGTGTCACGATTGGCACGCAAAGCCTGGAATGCAATCAAGCGCATGTTCCCTCGTTTTTTCGACATCTCCCGCACACAGTCCGAAGACGTTCGGGAGACTTCCTAATAAGGAGTTTTAATCTCCAGAGTGACTTCTCAAGGTTGAGAATGGCAACTCGTCACTGTGAATATCGAAATGACGGTCGTGGCTACTCTGTGAATACTTTTTGATCTAAAGAAGAAAAAGAGAAAAGAGGAAGCAAATTTTCGAACTGCAAAGTTTTTATTTATTGGTGTTTTTAGGTGGGGCAGATGGGGCCAGTTGGTTGCAGTACCGTTTCCTCTATATATTAATATCAGGGGTTAGTAGCATAATGTATACAATTGTAATGATATATGAATTAAAGGAATATATGGGGCTTATCTCGCGCCTCATTCTTCATCAACCAAACCAAACCCAATTAATCCAATCTCCAACATAAACTTACATTTATACATACTAAAAATGCCAGCAGACGATTACATATCGGCAGCCGGAGCTGGTGCCCTCAAGCTAAAAGGTGGGAAGATACAGAAGAATAAGAAAAAGAAGAAGACCAAGGTTTCAAACCTTGAGCGATCCCTCACTCCGGGAGATAACTCCACCTCCACTTCCACTTCCAAGCCCAAAGATGTCGAGGATCCCCGACAACGCAATAGCAAAGATGTAGACGACGGCGGCGAAGGTGACGTAGTCGTACAGAAGACCGAGGCCGAGCGCCGGTACGAAGAAGCCAATAGAAAAAAGGTATGTTTTGTTTACATCTATGACAAACGATAAGCGACGACTTAATACTGATATTATTTTCGTCACTAGATGTTAAAGATGCTCGAAGATCCAAAGGTAGCTTCCGAGTTTCGAAAGACGCACAAAGAGAGAGTAGAAGGCCTGAATACCTATCTTTCCAAGCTTAGCGAGCACCACGACATGCCTAAGATCGGCCCAGGATAAACTATACCTTTCGGATCGTCTACCCTGAGGTTTACCCTATCTAGCTTAATAACCTCACTCGAGCCTCACTACTAGTTTGCCCAGTACTTGATTTAATTACCTAGTTATTCACGGAATGACTTCACGAAATGCTTGTTACTATTATTGTATAGAATATATCTCTGTTACGAGTCGAATTATTAGGTATCCTCCCTTGACCTTCTATGTACATACATACATACCTACATACATACATACATACGTACATATTTGTGTATCCCAAATGATTCAAAGATCCTAAAATTAAAGAATTAATCTGCAGACAATCTCGTGATATTCGTCAACAGCTGCCAGACTTTGCGAGCTCTGAGCCGACCCTTTTTCTATGCCAAATGTTTCTCTTTTTCCCTTTGCCTCCAGGTTCTAAATGAATGTAGATGCCGTCAAATTTCCATGTATGCAGAATGCCGGCGCCGGTGCTGAATATGCTTCGCTCAGATAATAATAATAATGATGATGCTGTTGCTAACGCCAGATTTCAAGATGAGATGAAAGAAAGGAATGTAATGGATCGGATCACGATGGAGCTTATGCGAGGAGTGCTCCGCCGACAACGGCGCCGATGATGACTTCCACCACTGGCCGCCTGGCAGGCAGCATGGCAGGGCCGGATTGCAGGCTTCCCTCAGCTTCTGAGGTCTGGCTCGCTTCTTCGGGTGCACCTGGAGTGACCACCTCAACGGATGTGATTGTTGTCTATAGAGTTAATGAGTTAGTAATTTGCTCTTTTGAAACGACTACAAGACTACTTGGTGGTTAAGATATAACCTAGGCGTATGTTGGTACACCGCTGGAGGCATATCAAAGGTGAAGGTAGAAGTAGGATAGGTGAGTAAGACATGCCTTAGCGCCTCCAGGAAGCGTCGATGTGAACGTAGATGTTCTAGGTGGCCTTGTAGTGCTAGGAGTAGATGCGCTTGTTGTTGTTGTCAAGGTCGTATCTATATACTGATTAACCTGATATCCTTATGATTGAAGCAGACACTGTGAATTAGTACACATACCAGGAGTGCTCGTCGTCTCAGAAGAAGACTCCGAGGTAGCTGATGATGCCGTTGTTGGCTCGTCGGTAGTTGATGTTGTTGTTGTTGTTGTGATAGGCACGTCAGACGTAGTACTCGTTGGCACATCCGAGCTTGACTCCGTAGTCGAATCCGAAGTCGTCGCCGTAGGCGTATCTACAGAGGTGGAAGTAGAGGTTTGTTCTTCCGCTGTGGTGCTTTCACTTTCACTCGTAGGGGCTGCAGAGCTAGACTCCACAGATGTAGCAGTCGTGGTAATCGTCTCATTTCCAGACTGTCTCTTCGCGAGCTGAACGATAGATGTTGCTAATTCCGGGTCACTCGCGTGAATTGCCTCCATGGCCGAGTGGTCAGAGTCATAGACGCCATGCTTGTAGGTACCAGGAAAGTAAGCATGGAGAAACTCGTGGATAGCACGGGGAGAAGTTGAGCTCAGCAATCGCGAGAAAGTCGAATCGTCACGGAGAACAACATGCTCAGTCTCGCTTTCGACCTTATCCTCGCCGGAAGGCTTTTGGTGCAAGACGGCACTGGCTAAGCCGGCCGTGACAAGCAGGCCTAGGAATAGAGTAAGGAAGAAGTGGCGGGGCGAAGGCATCTTTTCTACCACACGATGTCGAATACAGCGTTTAGGTTGGGTTGGTGTATAAGTTGCCTGCTGTTCACCTAGGAGACCCTTTTCGGAGAGAGAAGTCATATTGGAAAAAAGAATGATGTTGTTGATTGGTACGACCGTTTTTATGGTAAGCCGACTGGATTAGTTTCCGAGAAGCGAGAGAGCTAATGCAGACTATTGCAGAAAAACGCTTGGGCAGTGGGCAATGGGCGGCAAGATTTTGGGGCGACGACTACTGCAAAAAAAAAAATACGGTACTCGGTATGCAGCTCCACGGGGTTCTAGAGTTGCACAAAAAAAGGAAGCAAAGCTGGCAGAAGGGGTCGACGATATTTCCGAGAGGTGAAGACTCAAAACCCAAAGACCGAAAGCAAGTAGCCTATCCAAAAGTACACAAGTTCGTATATAATCCTTGGATAGCGTGGCTTTGACGTGTACCGATTTACCGGATGCTGTGGAAACAAGGAAGGAAAAAAAAACAAAAAAAAACAGGATCGTTATGATTTGTTCTTTATTCAATGGAGATAGTTTGACCCAGCGCTGCGAGCGCCGATAACATTATGTACGTTTGTTATGTAGTGTAGTGTACCTAAGGTATGTATGTATGAATGTACCCTGGTTAATGTAAGATATCGTGGCTGATGGGCTTAATCCTCGAAAACTGGTGGAGACATATACTGTAGCGAAAATCTATCTGACACACTGTACGATGTATGATGTACGATGTATAAGGAGGCGACTGAATTAGGTAGATTCATATCGAGCTTGACTTGAGGCAAAGGATCTCATTTTTACATACAAAAACTCCTCAGTACCTATGTATTACATTCTATGCTAGCCTCTGAGTATAAATTATTTTAGACTTATAGTCTTAATAAAGGCTTATAGGTTTTGAATAAGAGAGTTCTCCGTAGATAAGTTGTTAGAATTGTTCGTTGTATGCACTAACTATCCATTCGTACGATCGAGATTGTCTTGGCGCTGTGTAGGCTGAGCCGAAACCCATACTGTGGTCATGGTGACGTCGCTTTCTGTTGAGAATACGAGGTTTCCGCTGTTTCGTCCAACCCCCCACTTCAAGCTCCTTTCTCTCCTGGTCGTCTTTGGTGCTAACTGGTGAGCTAATCCGCGTGGCGCCGTCTGTTCTAAATCCGGGAAGATCCAGGCGGCGAGAAGGAGACTGTTGTTTCAGAATAAAGAAGGCGAATGGAATTTTACAAATTACCAGTTAGTTATGCCGCCGCTATATATAGTACCCTGGTAAGATACATACACTATAACCCCTGAACCTAGCCAATCACGGAATAAATATGTACAATGTACACGTCGGGTCCGGCACAGTACCTTACATGTAGCCAGCAATAATATACGTACCTTAGGCAGACTTTAACTTGTCTTAAAATCAGTCATAATCTATTCACTGATTCGCTAACTTTAACGATTGGTTTTAACTTATCAGTTTACCTCTCCTCTACCAAGATTTTATTCGTCCGGTCTGTCCTAAACATGACATTTGGCTAAAATGTCTCAAACTAAATCTTATCTTGTCTTACCTTTGATATATATGTATAGGATAGCCGCCACTTCGCCAAGTTAGACCTTATGCGGTTAGAGATCAGCAGCTATGTACAGGGCTGAACGCTTGGCACAGTATTGCCGCACGTAGTAGATAATGGCTTATAGTTATATAACTTGACGATACCTCATTAATATATCATGTAAACTACGGCTATGCGATCATACTACAATTATAAACACGTAGTCTGCTACCAACTGTTCGCCAGCTACGAAAATTTTAAAAGGCTAACCTGTTCCGACCAAAGAATATATAGTACGACTCCCGCGATATAGATCCGCGTCTCGGGATTACCCGAAGGTCCGGATAACCACGCTCTTACGGTTGAAAAGAGTTTCGGAGCCGTGCCTATGTATGGCAAGTCCGAGAGAGCATAATCCGAATAGCTAAGAATACCTAATATAGTAATTAGGTACTCCAGATAGATACTTAATAAGATCGGCACATAACGAGCAAGTGGGAAAATAGCATTGTTCATGCGTGGGGAAATGTCGATCTAACCAAGGTTAATGCCATGGATTAGAGATATTTATACGGTAGTAGGGTGATATTTTATATTCGCAATAATCAATGCTTATGCGAGCATGCTACAGACCTTAAAAGGATTCAAAGTGGTCAACCAAATTCAGATGGGCAATATGCTCGCACCTAAAGACATAGTTCATCATGCCTGGAATCAATAGATATATAGTGTTTTTGCCCGGTTTGTATAGCCGCTCAGGTGTAAAGAACAGGAAAGAGAAAAAGTAATACCCGAAACCAAATATAATCGTGCCTGGATCTCCGCGAGCCAGTTTACTAGTCTTCGGGTCGTGATTAATCCACAAAGGAGTTTTCTCCTAGATCATATAAACCTTCTGGTCGATCTAATCTCCCTCGGTAGCATTCTCTATGTTAAAATGCCAGACGAGTATCGCAATAGTGATCTTCATTTCGACATATGCAAGATTACGTCCCCATACAGCTCCGAGAACATCTGGAAACGGCGTATATGGGGGTACCAACGGCCACGCCCTCGGGGAGGTGCTCATCATTGATGATAACGCCTCCAGGTGGCACAATTTGCCGATAGGGTCGGGGGATGAAGGGTAGACCCGTAGGGCTTCTTCTATGCACGCAAGGAGATACTTGCATTGTTTGACACGTGTCACCGTGATTTCGCTAAAGCTTTGGAAACACTCTGAATCTCATTCTTCAGTTTCTCGTACACCTGGGGGTTCTCTACGAGAGTCATCCTTCCCGACTTATAAGCGTCGATCGGCCTGCCCATAAAATCAGGTGCGGACGATTCGTATTCAAGACGACGACTCGTTTTTTCCTACAGGGAGGTTAACGGGGTAGAGTACATATAATAAAAGTTGTACACTTACAGTATTAAGTTGTTTGGGTGTCCGTATGTCTAATTATATGGATGTTGGAATGGTGTATAGCTTGAGGGGGAGTTGAATAACCCGAGGAAACCGGGAAATCGCTTGGCAGAAAGCCATGAACTTGGCAAAGCTGAAGATCTCGATCCATTTGTGAATCCGTGAGTTGGCTAGGTAATCAAAGGATGCCTTAAAGGCTATGGGCGAGGTCTAATGAGCGCATGATACTAATAAAATGCTCATAGAACTTACTAAGAAACCTGGTCAAGCCGAACATCATGAACTTGGGTAGTTGAGCTTCGAATATGACTATGGTGTTAGAGCAGCTTGTAACTTGCGTTATATCACGATTGAATATCGATAACAACCGAGCCTCCTTGACCGACCTCTTGTAACTTCTGGAATAGGAAAACAACATATTGTTGGACAACTGGTTCCTGCTCCCTCGACGCTTTGTCAGAGAAGCCATGTGCGAGTAACTTGCGGAAATATCTATGGTAACAACGATCCGCATCGATGAATACAGACTCGCCCTATAGAGCCGAGTGATATTTCTTATTCTCTGTAAGCTTTAGATGGCCTGGAGGGTTGTGGTCATATATCCTTCCATTAGGGATGATCTATATAAGAGAGTTCGTTAGGGGACGTCCTAATTGCTGGACCGTATTTGCTATGAAGTTATAGGAGGGTAGTATGTGTGATTCTTCTTGCATAACGGAGGTGAGCTGCCACGGAGTCGCTGAGGCTATCAGGGGCCTGGGTATCTAGACAGGGGATGGAAGTCGATATTGTATACGGTGAGGTAGACATAATATAGGATAGGCTATCCAAGTACCGGCAACTAGCTAGTATCTTTGTGTGAACTATATATGACTTACTAGAGGAGAAACGCTTAGCGCAAATACAATATATTCACCGGCACCGAGAGGCGGGATAGTAGAAGCTACTGCTTCCGAAATGGCCATCTTGATATCTTACTAACGTTTTCCTAATCAGAGGAGCATATCGACGGGGTAACGACCTTGAACTATAAGATTTAGTGGTTATGGGTTACGAGCAGCTAAATGTCAGGGACGGGCAGTTTATAGGGCACTGCATGTAAAATTATATGTAAAATTATATGTCCTCAAGTGCCAACATGTTACACAGTTGATTTAATATAGTGATATATCCAATTACATCGCGAAGTTAGGCTATTATGGGGAGGCTATAATAGTTTTTTAACTAATCATATTTCTTGAAAATAGGTAAGTATAGCATACTGCGCAGCTCGCCGGCGCTTGAGGACATAGGAATAACTTCTTATACGAACATAATGGAAATAAAACAGGCTGCGGGAAGCCGCTCCGACTATAATATCTAGGATAAATCACTTGTACTTATAAGCATCTTGATAGGAAATTCGCGGTAGTATTGCTTGATTTCTCTACCAAGATAAAGATGATAGATATAATAGATAGAGGTAGTAGTTAGATGAAGTACCTAGGTGTACTGATATGTAGGGAGCTTCACCAGCCACATGATTATGTAATAGCTCTTTAAATTAACCTTAAGAGAAAAGGATTCTAAAATACATGTGCCTTGTTACACTACATGTACATAAATACTCACCTGAGAATAGTATATTGTATATGTACATGTATGTAAGCACCATGTTGATTACGACGCAAATTCACTAGAAAAGACATGTGAATATGGTACCTAGACTAAGTGTTAGAAAACATGACAAGACCCACCAATTGCGCCAATCGATTAACAATTAACGGTACATCGTAGCTTACCTAGGTAAGTACTTCCAAGGTTCAATCAATGTCAGAACTCTTTTTTTTTTAATAACTAAAAAAAAAGATCTTTGAAAGTTGTTTAGTAACCCCCTTCCGTATCGTAGATCTTTACAACTTTATCCCCACGATACCGATTGTTGTTAACTTGCGCCCTCATACCCTCGCATAACTTATTCCTAGAACATGACGCAAAGAAGTTCTGGCTGGGACTGAATGAATTGCCTCCACGTTGCGCGCCTAAGGTGTGCCTGTCAACTAACAGGGTCTCGATAATGCCTGAGCACCTTGACCCGCCTCCACAAGATGCTTTGAGACTCCTCTCACGATCTCCACATCCTTACCATCGCCAGCACTCCGAGTTGTTGGAACCATCCGACCGCTTAACATATACAACCTTAGGAGGAGACCGACTTAATGCACAATCTACCTCATCCGGCATCTCGAGAGAAATTACACCAAGTAGCGACAGCGGCACCGAGGCCGATGATGAACACTTCCTCAAAGGTTTACCAGCTCCGAGAAGGTCGCGAAAGGGCTTACGGGGGCGCAATGAAGTTCTGTCTGGTACTTCAACCCCAATACCCTCTCCCGCTGTTCTTGAGGAGGAAGGGAGACGAATATCCTACAATATGAAGAAGGATGAGTCCATAGGCAAAAGACCCCAAAGTCCGGCTGACAGGGCACGGAGGAGGAAGGAAATTGTCCGTCGCTCTACCGAATTGCTGCTCATCGGATTCCTTGGTGTTGTCGTTTGCGCGAATGCCTATGTCCGACCCGTACTTAGCAGATGGAATCGAGGTGCGCTTCCCCCCTTTTTTTTTCTTGTATAGCTGAATTGGTTTTAGGAAAATACTAATGTAAATCTAGAGCTCTATGCTTGGATAGGGATATCAGTTGCTCTGGCGTTACTTTATCCCTTGAGACTTGTGGTATGGGCTTACTGGCACCGGGCACCTTCGAAGAAAATCCCGATATCTATACCATCATCTTTCGATCCAGCACCATTATTATATCCGTCGACCATCACCATATTTGTCTCGTTAATTCTCGCCGTTGATAATGAGGCTATAATTCTACCTAGCATAATACTTGCTATATGTTCCTTACCGCCAACGTTGCTCCCCACCTTGTCCAGTGTTGGTCCAGGGTGCGATTCCTTACATTGGGCGCTTTCATGCGCGCCCCTACTCCTAAAAGAAGCTAGCTGGCTCAATGCCATCCAGACGAATGCTAGAGGAGCTGAGTTCCCAGCGTATGTTTCTCTCGAAACTGCAACACTATTATACCCGTTACATCAGAGTCTCTGCTCCATTCTGCGTACTTTAACTACAACCAGTCTTCTTACGGCTGAACTGCAATTATTGTCGATCTCGCTCATCGATCTCCTATTTCTCGCATCTTCACCACAGGCGGTAATTTTAAAGTCACTGCTCTGGATAGGAGGTCTTGATATCCTTGTTTTGTGTGGTCAACCTATCAAATGGGGTATCTCTTTAGCCCGTGTACCTAAATGGCGCTTTAAGAGAACCCCTAGCTCTTCCAAGCCGACATCTTCTTTCTTTTCAAGCATCATGCCATGGAGGAGAGTAAGACACGATCTGTTCCATGCACCAGTAGATAGCTCATCCTGCAGTTCCTGCGAAGCGTTTGATGGCCCCGAAGACAGCGACGGCCCAGCATCTATGGCAGCCGGAGGACCTGTCCGCGTGAAAACCATGTTTGATGGCGTTGGTTCTACTGGGATCGAAGAAGGCCCACTTTCTGCTATGAATACGGGTCAAAAGCTCCTGGCCAATACTATAGATACAAAACCTGGAGCAATACCGCTCCGCCGACACACTCTACCTAACGCAGACAATGTACCGCGAAAATCTCACACACATACCCCGTCCGGCCGGAGGAAGCGAACCGCTTCTCGTTCCGTCCGCGCTTTCTTCTTGCTTACGCAGAAGCAGGCTACAACTAGGAAATGGATTTATGCTGTATATGTTTATATCTGCGTTATTGGCGCTGTATTCCTTCCCCTTCCCTTTGTTGGCGTCAAGACCGTTATTGCAGATGACGCACTTCGTGGCCATGATCCTATAGGATGGGCTTTGGGCTATTTATTCGGAGATCTGCCACAATTTAGATGGGAAGTTGTTAGTCGGAATTTAGAGCGATGGATATGCCTTCCTTTAAGACCATCTGACGAACTTGAACATCTTTCGATGGGTTGGGTCAACGACCTCCGCCAGTTGTATGTTGGCCAGGCTAATACACGCCTTTTACTGAGCGCGTATTTCGTGGGTGTCATCGCAATCGGATTGATAGTAGTGTTTCGGCTATCGCCTATCTACGAGGTAGATACGCGGCGAAAGGTTTTCCATTTCATGATGGTCGCCATGTTCCTGCCGGCTACTTACGTAGATCCTACGTTTACGGCCTTAGCATTATCCGTCGTCCTTGCTCTCTTCCTTCTGCTCGACCTTCTCCGCGCAAGCCAACTTCCTCCGCTGTCGAGGCCGCTGGCTTTTTTCCTTGCCCCGTACGTCGACGGACGAGATCTTAGAGGCCCGGTTGTTATCTCGCATATATTCCTTCTTATAGGTTGTGCGATTCCTCTGTGGCTATCGCTGGGTTCTCTCCCTCGTGCCGGGTCTGGATGTCTCGACGGCTGGGAGGTGCTTACGAGAGAAGTTAGCATGGTGTCGGGTGTCGTATGTGTGGGGCTAGGCGACGCAGCCGCTTCTTTGATTGGAAGACGTTATGGACAGCGGAAATGGCTGTGGGGTGGCGGTAAGAGTCTCGAGGGGAGCGTAGCCTTCGCGTTTGCTGTCTTTGCGGGACTTGCCGCCGCCCGTCTATGGCTACGCATCGGCGGGTGGCCTCAGACAACCGGCAACTCCGACACATGGAGCACTGCGGCCCAGAAGATGGGGATATGTGCCGCTACCGCCAGTCTCACGGAGGCAGTCTTGACTGGCGGCAACGATAACGTCGTGGTACCTGTGGTCCTATGGACATGTGTAAAAGGGTTTGGTATTTAGGCTACCACCGGGGGGATAGGGGTGGGATGAATGAATGATTAAGAGTTCGGCGTCCGGTCAGCAAATTCATCAGCATTTACGAGGCCTTCTAAAGGGGGATCAGAAGGCATAAATGGGCGGCCCGACTTATAGACTAAGATATACCCGCCGAGTTCAGCTGGCGTTTAGTAATACTGTAACGTATATATATCGTTGCAAAATGAGTGAAGAAAGGGGGGGGTGAATCGATACCAATTGATTTGATATTGATTGGTGGTAAATTAAGCCATATTGTGATGTGGCTGGCTATGAAGTGTAGATAATGAGATATGTATATTCAAATGATGCTCTCTCTTGACGAGACCATCATATAGCACGGATAATAGAAGGGTAAAACATTAAACTCACATCACAAAGGTTTAATGCTTTACTCATTTCTCAAGCTTGCCGCGGGCGATGATCTGGTCTCCTATACATCAGGCCACAAATTTTGGGGGAGCCGGGAAGAATATCCGTGAGCGTCTCGACACCCTCCGGTTTCTAATATCCTACCTAGTAGCGTATTTATCTTAGGGGGGGGGGGGGGGGGGGGGGGGGGGGGGTAATGCAAGGAGGTTCAAACCCCTTTACGGGTAATCCCCCAGCCCGACTCAAGTTCTACCCGTGCCGTGCCGTATAATAAAGGGCGTTGAGTCATAGCGGTGCCTGAGGGTTTCCCTCTGGTGAAAGGTCGACTGGCCAATGATGACGCCAACCAGCTAGGATAGCATCGTGGGTAGGAGGGTATGGATAGGTACATAGAGGCTGGGTTATGACGATGAGGTTATTTGTATCTAAGGACTAACACCGCCCAAAAAACAGGCATTATTGCCCTGCTAAGAGCCAGGTGTGTCAACTCTAGGACTTGCTAATTACCGTTTTTATCTACCACTTGTCACTTCGTAAAATATCCAACAGCGAAATAGGAATTTACGCCTCAACTTACCTCTGGTTACATTTAATTGAGGGTAGTTCCTTTGAATACGTTTGTTACAGCTGGGCGTGTTTTCGGCAATAGGGAATGTTATTATGTTCTTACATTTTACCAATAACTCCTATTCTAGCAGCATTGAATGACACTGCTATAGACAATTTACACTTCTATACATGCTGCTATGGCTATCTGAAGCATCGGTGACGGTGCCGGCCCAGGCATACCCCTTTTAGATGACCGATGCCGGTTCGGCGGGGTGAAAATCACTCCGTGCCACTCAACCCAACCTCAACCAAGCAGTTATTCCCCAGATTCATTCATTCAGAGCAACAAGCTAGAGGTTGTTATGAGTCATGCGGTGACGAGAAGGCAAGGTAGCATAATTACGAGGGTGTGCCTTATCTTCCGGCGTATGTAGCGTAGAGCTCGAGGTGGTATCTGTATTCTCGTCTGCTTAGGGTCATTCTTATGGACGATCATTTAATTCGGAGTCCAAATTGGCTTTATCCTATGTACATATGAGGCATGCTGAGAATGTGCTGTTATGACGTCCGGATGTTAGATGGTCATGGTTAATCCTAGGCCAATTGACCCCTGATAAGATACCAAGAGTAGCTTCAAGTGTGGCAGTGTGGCACTTATACGACCTTAGGACGACCTTAGGACGGCCATAGAATATTGTTATCTCCAAACAAATACACAGTGTAGAAAGAATACTGTACGGTTTAGAACTTGATCCACGTGCAAGACGGGGTAAAATAACCTTAATAATGGAATAACTGATGGAATAATGCAGAAAGAATAATGCTAATGATTGAACCTAAAAGTTTAGTTACGGTACTTGCTTCGGAAAGTACATCAATAAGTACCTAACCTAGGTAGGTACTAGGTACAGAATCACGGAATCAATAAGAATCTTCAGCCTTGGTCCTTCGAATTCGGGTTTGGAAACAGTCAGTCCCGTTTGCTTTCTTAGTTCTTGGCCTACAGCCTACTGCATGCTACGAACATACTAAAAGTTAATTACATAATTTACATATAACTAGTCCATACTTACAAATCTATCCTGCTCAATCAAGATACATCTTACTTACACATCAAACATCAAACATCAGACATCAGACATACATCTTATTACTTAGGTGCACATCTACGTATTAACATTAACATATATCTATCTTATTAATATCAATAGAATTCCCCCCCTTCGAAGTCATAAATTTACAATACATTCGGCTTTTCAAGAAAACCGAAGGCCTCTCATTGTCTACCCCCTTTTAGAGACGTAGTCTTACAGTCATAGCATTCCACTGGGGTGTCTGACCTGACCCGCCCCTGGTAAAAGGCGTTAGGCAACCTCAATTCGTGTCGCATTCCCTCCACCTGGCCGCAATCGATAAAGATATTCCTCATTCTTCATACGAAGCCTTCGCACATATTCGGAATACATATTTGGAATACACCACTGTCAGCTTCATACTTAACCCCACTATACTTATCGTGAAGACTCAAATGATAAGCGCCAACCAAGTCTCAGTTGTAGACTTGGGGTGCAGGACTAAAGTGCGGGACTAAGAGAGGACGGTACCTACCTAAGGTAACCATGGCATCTAACTCGTCGGGAAAGCCACCCAGGGTCCTTGCTTGTGTGAGTTGTTTGTACCACCGAACCGCTTAAAGGTCGCCATCCTCACTTCATATTTACGTAGGTTCTGTGCCAAAATAGAAAGATCAAATGTGACCGCAGGACTCCTTGTTCCAACTGCATCAAGGTGAGTTTTAGACGGAGAAGTCTATCTCCCTCAAAGCTTTTCGGTCCTGACAGATCATGCTCAGGCCAACGTTTCCTGTACTCCAAGTACCCCGGCGCCTGCGCGCAAGAGACGGAGGCCCAACCAAGACTTACAGCAGAGGCTCGCCCGGTGCGAGGAGTTGCTGTCCGAGTATGCTACCGCCAAACCACCAGCTCCCTCGTCCGCCGAATCACCAAGCCGAGATGAGTCTTGGAGACCCCTCGGGAAACTGATAGTTGACGAGGGCGGCGTTAAATTTATAGATAGTTTCTTATGGGCCACCATCCATAGCGAAGTGAGTTCGTCCTCTCCCGCGCCACTTCTCCCTAATATGCTACTCGTTTTCGCTTCAACATTTCTCTTTTTGGATAATTTCGGGCTTAACTCCTTCTCTCGCTTCCACTAGCTCTCGGCAATGCGCGAGATACTCGAGGATGAAGAAACAGTAGACGATCCATGTACTCCAGCCGAGTCTCAAATTTCCGATCTCGATGCAGGACTCATATTATCAGATACTTCTAATACCGATTTAGAAGAGCTACATCCCCAACCAGCTCACGTATTCCGCTTATGGCAGATTTTTATCGAAAGAGTCAACCCAATAACTAAGGTGATCCATGTTCCTACAGTCCAGCCTCTACTCGTCGAAGCAGCGGCAAGTAGAGCAAATATACCTAAGAATGCCGAGGCCCTGCTATTTTCCATTTATCTAATGGCGACCGTGGCTCTAACCGAAGATGAGTGTTTGGAGCGGTTTGGGTACACTAAAGATGTAGCTTATACTCGCTTTTCTAAGGGTTGCCGTTCAGCTCTAATGCGCATCGGCATCCTAAAAAACTACGACCTAGTTGTCTTACAAGCCTTAGTGCTGTACTTGGTATACACATGTACCGCTATCTCTCGACCAGACCTCAGCTAACAGTACTTCTACCAGTTCTCTCTGCCAGGCCATTATGACCGCCATGCGGCATGGATTTTAAATGGCGTCACGGTGAGGATCGCGCAAAAAATGGGACTTCATAGGGATGGAGAATTCCTCGGACTATCACCATTCGAGACTGAGATGCGGCGACGCATATGGTGGCAAATTATTTTGCTTGATGCCATGTACGCGCTTATGTCTGGCCTAGGGCATTCCCTTCTCCCACGCTCCTGGGATACAAAGCCACCCTTGAACCTCAATGACTCTGATCTTTACCCTACTATGACCACCCTCCAACCCAAGGACAGTCCCACGGATATGATATTCCGCCTCGTATGCTGCGAGCTTGCCGCGACTATGGTTGACACCCCTGAGCTTCACACAGTCATCATGCAGAATGAGATGGGGGTAGACAACCCCGAAGCTGAAAAAGTCGAAAGGGCCGCTAGGCGCATCGATGAGCTGGATAGAACTTTGACGGAGATCCTCACCAAGTATAGCGATCCCTTAATGGGACCTGTGCACGTCTTGGCGACCGAGACGAAGTCAATAATGGTCGACAAGCTACGAGAGCTTGTTTGCCCACTCAGAAGTCAGCCGGAATGGGGCACCGAAATCTTAACGCCCAAAGACAACCTATTTAAGCTGTCTCTCACAGCAGGGGAGCAGAATTTGCGAATGTACCAGATACCTCAGACCGAGGGCTTTTTTCTCTGGTTTAGTAAGTGCCATGGACTATGGCCGTCAATTTCATACTTTGCTAATACCTGCAGTGATGTCACATTTTCAGATAGAAGTTTTCATATATATGGTCGGGCAGCTGAGCACACGCACATCTGGACAGCTGGTAGAAAGGGCATGGCAGGTGGTCGAAATGTTCTACCAGTACCATACGGAATTATACGATCTCACGATGAAGGCGCACATGGCGTCCGCTATCTTTACGATACGAGCCTGGAATGTACGAGAAAGGATACTGCGGGATACAACTGGATCTGCTCCGGAAACGCCAGGCTATATAGTCAAGCTGCTAAGTCTTCTTCCACCCGACGAGACTAGGCATACGCGCACTGATGAAGCGTCTACCGTGACGAGCCTAAACGTGAGTCCCGCTGCGCCTACACAACAACCCAGCACAGAGGTTTCTTGGGATCAGATGCTTGGCTTTGTTGATGCCAATTCCATCGATTGGGGCGATATGTTTTCGGTACCGACCGGGGGGCAACCGCAGCCGAATTTCGGAGGTTATGCAACGGTGTTTGGGGGAAACTCGATTAACTGGATGTAGACATCCCATGGAAAGAGTTAGAGGATATGGACGCTGTCACCCACGTACTGGTGTTTCATCCTGCTTTCGTGTTTGTTCTGATCATGATGGGGCACTTGCTTTAGCCATAGAAATGGTATGGCAATAAACAAATGGACAGACGCGCTGTAATTGAACACTTGAGGGATTGGGTGATATGCGCTGAGCATGATTACTCTGTTGAGCATTGGCGGATGGATCGGTAGGATAATCGAGGGGCACTGACAAAGCCTAAACGAGCACCTGCTCAGGGGTTGTTCTTGATATCTGTCCAGCTGGCTTGATAAGATGTGGCGTCATAATGCCGTGTAATGCTACTCACTATTGTAATATATAAATCCAATCAAGAGTAACTACTGGTGAGTTGCATATCTATATTATGGGAAGAGCCGAGTGGTACAAATTACCTATGGTATAGGAACATTTAGAGCTTAACGATTACCCATGAGTTTGGAAATAGTTTTCTATAGTCCTAGAACAGCTCTAGTCCCAATAATTCAACTCTTTACTTTATTGAACGAACAAAATTACACGAGAATGATTTCCAGGCGCTATTCATATTGCATACTCTATGCAATAGTTTCTTATACGGGCGGATGTTTCACTATATTTCTCTCTGTTCTTGCTGTTTAGTAAGTTTATATATATTATGTTTTGAATATTCTTGTTTACAGCTTATGATGATAGCTTAGATATATATATATATGCCTATATCGTGTTAATAAACACTTTACATGATTGACCACAGGAGTTGATATCCACATCAGAGCCTATTAAGGGGCTGTTGCCGGTTTTTATCGTTAATAGTAGTTGAGACTATATCGGAGCCGTGGCTTTCATCTTCGATGTTACTAGAATAACTATCGATTCCACAAAGCCGCAATGTATTAGATAGATAATTGGACCCAATACGTAGGGATCTGCCCAATTCACTAGTTGGTTCTAGTGAAATATGGTACCGTACCTAGCACCAACAAGATTCCCAAGTTATTTGTTCAAGTCCCTTCTAGAAGACCTACGAGATATATTATTATCGGCAACTAAGTTGTAGGCCTAAAGACACGTCACCTCAGCTACTAAATCCTAAATCTAAAGCCTCTAAAAAGATATCAATCTAGACTTGATACATTATACAGGTAACAAACAATAGCATATATAATCCTCAAGGTCTATTGTTTTCGAACAAGCGTCTTTTCCAACATTATTTGACATTAGAAACAAAGCTTTCTTTCTTCCGACTTGAGACAATTAAGTATAAATAATCCCGCGCGTAAATTTTTTTAAAATATAATTTAATTTGCTGAATCTTAGTTCGTCATATCCTCCAGGTTAGCTAGTTATGACCGGACAACTTGATCTTTTCTTTTCCTCTTACTGCAAGTTAACTTCGAGTTGATCTCATCGCAGCAGGCCTGTGTACAAGCATCAGCATCAGCATCAGCATCAGCATCACGGTCGCCATTATTAATGACTCCTCTCTACATCTCCCTTGCACTCCCCTATAACGCCCTCGCACCCCCTAACCCTCTTTTTTCTAACACCACATCCTATTCCAACAGCTGGTCCATGCAGAAGTCCAGCCAGAACCCCCAATGGCTCTGAAAGGCACGCCCCCCCTCCCCAACAACAATAACAGCAATTGGACGCTCATGTACGTCCTCCTAGGCCTAGTTCCGGTAATATTCACCATAATAGCCCTATACGCCGTGTGGCGGGACACACGTATGCCTCCTCGAGATATTGAGATGGCAGCCCTGCCCTCGCAACGCGTGTTGCCTTGGCGGGAGGCAATCGCGGCTTCCGAGGGACATGGGGCTGGAACCAGGGAATTCTCCTCGCGTCCGGAAAGCAACCGAGCCCGGATAACGGTCACGAGACCTTTGTCTATCGTGCCCGTTACGCCGAATATAGTGCGGTTCGGTGGACCGCCGGGCATGAGCATGTGGCAAAAGCCTAATAGCCATCGGGGGAAGAATGTAAAGACGAATGCGGCTAGGGCGACGTCGACCAAGAAGCCGCATGGGAAAGGTGTATTGGGAGGTATGGATAGAATTTCCGAAGAACTCGAGGAGATGTCTTTCTAACACAGATATTAATAGCGATGCCCTGTCCTAGGTTTAGGTAGTTATAAGTAAATATATTCGCTTATTGTCCATATAAGTTCCGTGTAGCATATGAATATCATTTCCTAGCTCTGGATGTAGCTTAGAAAATCAAAATGCTAAGGCAACATGAGAGCTCTTAAAAGGTATCGTCGGTAAGTATTACTTCGTACTAGCTGCAAATCAGAACCAGGAGATGGATCCAGTTAACAAAGATTAGGTTATCCCTCCTTACATATCACTCAACGAGATCAAAGACAATGCTCTAAACCGCATGATTCGCAATAACGACCCTTTGAGTGAGTGAGCCATTCGTTGATTTTCATACGCCGCGAAGCGTCTGGTATCGGTCTTACGCCTGATGTGGCCGAAACACTATGCTAAGTTCAAGTATCAACCTCGCCAAAAACAAGACGCCTTTTCGTGAGATGCCTCGTCCACATTCCACGTGTTACTCCTAACGCCTCCATATTCCGCAGTCTAATGAGGTACCGTTTCTCCCCTGGCCTGAATCGCGAAAAACCAGTGTGCATGTGAACCGAAGTCCAATTGGGTATCAACAAAAGTATTGAAGAGTATAGACAATTGAAAAGCAAGCAAACCCTGATTTAAATCAGCGGATTGGTGTTGCTGGTAATTCAGCCCCGATAAGCTTCAAATAACAATAATGCTAGGTCGAATAAAAACTTCGACCTCCTGGGCAACTAACATCATCATCATCGTACAACAAGGTCGCATAACTACGGCGCTCGTACTTCTGATAACATATGAAGTCTTCAGCTTCTATATTGTTCTCAGGCAATCAGTGGTTCGAAGGCTGCCAGATGCCCGCGCCGAGAGGTTTGCTGATACCGAAGCCAATACCAACGGCAATGCCCACTATCAATAGACCAATGAGGATTTTAGCAATGATTCTGTTCCTCTTGCTAAGACGAGCTATGCACTGGCAAGATCTGTTGTTGATTTTGGCCGCCTGTGCCTTTTGCTGCCAGTGTTCTTGTCCAGGCCAGACAGGACAATCTGATTTTCGCCTAGTTCCGATGGTTGATGTCTTGTTCAGGTGTTCAGAGGATTTGACAGGCATCATTGCTTCTATGTCAGTGTCGAATCCGTTCGAAGCGGTAGTAGAATTTGGCGTCGATACGTTAGAACCTCGGCGCAACTCCCTACCTTCTAGGCTCCTCTCGTTGCTAGGTGGGCGGAGTTGTTGGGTAGTAACGATCAATTGACCAGGCTTAGTGGCCTTCTCTATGGTAATTGAAGCCATTTCCCTTAATGATACGAAAAACGAGAACCGAGAACCGAGGTACACCGGTAATGTCAAATCGAAGAGATATTAATATGTAGGTGCCGCCGTCTTCAGAACCGAGCTCACTGAATGGCAAACCACGGTGTTCCAAAATGAGGAGCGCGACGGTGAGAGTATAAGGTCGGGTTGGGGAATGAGTGCTAGGAGGAACCGTCAGTCAAGCGAATGACTTCGTGGATAACAAGTCCTAAAGCTCACCAGAAGCCGCTAAAGGACTAAAGGGCAAGGACGCGCTTGGCTAGGCCGAGAATTGGGTCTAGACGAACGCAATTGGAAGGAGCAGGCTATAACTTACTCTGCTCTTGCGATAGTGATCTCTAAGTTGGCATTGGAGATGGGATCAATCGGTTGAATTAAGACTAAGGGCGTTCGGTCTTTCAGTTCATTGATACTTCCTTGGGTCGATGATTTAGGTGTCGAGATAAATTGGAATAAAGGATCGACACAAAAATGGAGGTTGAAAGGAGGGTGCGAGTGATAGGAAGAGAATGACTGCGATCTATGTATGATCTATGTTATACGCATATAATGCCGTGTGCTGGATGTACGAATGTAATTGTATGTGTGTATATATCCACTAATACTAACGTAATGACTAGCAACTGTGTAAAAATGAAACGAATGAATGTCTTGTTGCCGACAAGTCGTACGTGATCATGCAAGGAACGAGTGACCCTAAGCCTTCGAGGGGCAAAAAGAATAAATGGCAAAAGGGAGCGAAAAGATGTACGAAAGTAGTGACAGACAGTTAGAGTAAGAAGTAGACGAGTAATGGAGTTATTGTTCCAGACTTCTGCAGTTTCTAACTTTGATAACCTTGTTCTTAACCTTGCAGGCTTTTGCAGGGCCTTGTTAACCTTGTCAGCCATTTGCAGCAGCCCATAGCGCGCATCCATGCGCCTGATAGATGCAGGAGCCAGGGGAGCCCATTGGATCATTTGAAAAGGGGGAGACAGGGGTAGCTGGATAGACAGGGTATGTCGCACAGGCCCATTAGGGGCTCGACCACTTAAGAATGCTAAAATCTGGAGTCGGTGGCCCCATAACGCTTGCACCCGCCGCAACAGCTTCCCCTAGGTAATAACCTAATTCGTCAAGTTCAGAAGCTTTTCTTTTTCTACACGTGGGTTCTACTGTGTAACACACATACATTCTTGCATCTTCAAATGCAAGACATTGGCTAAAACGATATACATAATTACGTTTATCTGCGAAGAATTACCCCTCGACAAGTTTATTTACTTCATATATATATATAATAGTTATCTCGTATCAATTTTATCATTCCTACTTGTAGGTTTTCTTTATACTTCGCATAGGTAACTACAATTGGCGTCTTGCATGAAACGGCACCTAATTCTTCGCGAAGTTTACGCGAGTTTGAGTTTTGAGGGTTTATTAGCTAATCATTACATCGTACGTAAAGACACAATATTGGTAACAATTGCGAGCTGTGCTCGTTTATCGTATTGTAATGAACACTAGCGTTATCCTTCTTGTTGGATAACTGGTCTGAGCTCATATGCAAAGTTCACCATAGTCCCAACACGCGTTCCATCCTAGGTTAGCTTGTAAATGATAAGAGGTAGATCGAGGCCTCCACGGACCTTTTGATCGGAGCATTGGTGGTAATTTTCTGGGTTAAGTGCTGATTACAGAACGTCTACCACGGTTCACCTACATAGAGATAGCACTTCGTGCGTATGTATGTACATAGTCAATACATACATATTATTCCTTGCATGCGCGTGCGTTTGCTATAGCGTAAATAGACCATCTTCAGGATGAAACCTAATGGTCCCAATGGTCCTAATGAACCCAATGATCTCTCCTAGAGGATTCTTTTCCTAGCCTCAGATCTCAGTATAAACCCGACAAGCACATGGCACGTTGCATAATAAATTACGGGTATTTCCGACTTTTCGGCCAGGACAAACGGCAGGCAACGCAGAAAATCCTCAAATTGGATATAGAAGCCGAACAGGAACGGGTACGCGTACGGGATCTTTTTACCTTTCGTACAGCCTGCAATGCATCCTGTTGACGAGGCACAGTAGCAGATAGCCTAGAAATTATTACGAAATGAACGAGATGAACGAATTGTGGAGACGGGGTTTATACATAGTTGGGTAAGTATGTCAAAATGAAATAATGATCACTTCCATATTCAGATCCAATACCCGTTTGTTACCACGTTTTATTATCAGCTAAAAGCTTACATTAATTATTACCGATGTCAAACTTGTCAAAATACCTTGCATACAGGCCGAAAACGTGCTGTTCCTAGCTACTAATTATATCTATAACCTTAAAGTATTATGCTGTTATGTAAAAGTTGTTAAGCATAAATAACATATATGTTTCCCCACTGGCTAATAAATAACTGCATCATTGCCCCTGTTAATCATGTCCATTTACGATTTATTAGAAGCTTACCTAATTATTGACTAGACGTGTATATACATTTATTTGTATATAGTTGACCATGTCTAATATTTTACAAAATCATGACATGATGGATGGTACGTGCGATGTGGTTATATCGTCATGCTCGACAAGGCTTTGCAGCGGTCACTTCTCGTGGCTTGACGTGGTGCTACATACTACATACATACATAGAACGACATCGGATCGATCTGCGAATGTTGACAGATCTACTTACGATCAGCTTACTTATGATCAGCTGACCTTGGCTTGTCGTCGCGTGTCTCGATTTAGCTTATATCTTACGCGTCCGTGAGTCTTTCCGGACATTCGCTTTCGACGGTTCACAAGCTCTTGTCATGTTCAATGTACAGCATGTCCGACCTGAGTTTCTGACGGGTAGTTATTACTTACACTTGATCGTCTCAGTTCAACATAGGTTACGGACTATATCGAATGATAAATACCTACATAATTGTATGATGACTGACCTTTGTGTGGGTTGTGATTATAGCGCATCTAATGAGGCTCTGCTGGCACCCGTATAAGATATTTTGATTTATGTACGTAGGTTGTTAGAATCTCGCATGCATAATCTCACTACTGAATTGTCAGCGTACACAAAGAACGAGCCGAATCTTGCTAGCAAAAAAAAAGGGGGTGGAAGGGGAGGGCAAGATCGTAATGGCTGCATGTTGCTGTCCCTTCTAGGCATGTTACTACGTACTTAGATCTATGTATATTTTTATGGTGTAGACACATGTGCCTTGAGATGTAAGATTATCTGCATGCGTGTAGTTTGCTGCAGTATCTGGACAAAAACAGCATTTACGGCAACATGAGGGAGTTTTGCAAAGGGTACGAATGTACAAATGTACGTCCTGACGGAGCGTTCCTGCCTCAACTGGTTGCTTTTGTGTAGCATATGCTTCATTTACCTAATTGATGTCATGTCCAAAGTACATAATCTGCCTGCCTAGAATGCAGTTGCCTTTTTACACATGCCGTCAGGTGTTTGTAAAAAAAGAAATTTGTCTTGGTCTGATTACAAGCAACTTGCAACTTTCTTAACTGTCTAAAAACACACTGGTCAGCGCATACCTCTTGTTTCTACTAGAATTTCAAGACTAAACCCTAGCACTCTCCTCTCCTCCATACAATTCCAATTTCAAAGGGGCTCTGATATCCATTCTAGTCACCATGAGATTCACTGCTATCTTTGCCTTTCTCGCCTTTGGCAGCTGCTTAGGCATGACGGCAGTACTCAACTCATCTAAGATTGCACTTGGAATTGAATCTACCATGGTGCATTCGGGTCTCGAGAAACGAGATGCCTTTACTTGTTACGGCGTAAGTCATAGGATCCTCTCCTATTCACTGCATCTCATACGGCCAAGCTAACACAGTATATCATAGTCTACCAACACCTCGGTCTCGGACTGCCAGAAGATCATTGACACTATTCGAATCGATGAGCAGCAGGAGTTCGCACTCTACTCGGGTGTTTGCGCTGTCTGGAACCAAGGATCATGCAGAGTCCGCTTCTGCGCCCAGCCCTACGTCAACAGACCCGTCAATAGATCTGCAACCTGGCTGACGACCTACATAGCCAGCCCGCTGCTAGACGGCTGCATCGGCAAAGGAAACCTAGGAGTCATGGCGGACCATACTAACATTAACAGCCACTATGGCACGTACCGACTATGGGTGGATTAATTATCGAATACATGTTGGAGCAGCCTGTATTGTTCCCATAGGGTCTATGATGAGATTTTAGGGACACCATGGTAATGACTTTCTATTATGTAGCTCAGACGAAACCCTAGCAGAGACTGAACTCAGTCGAAGTACGCATGGACGAGTAACCATGTACTTATAGCATTTGCTTCGATACTCGAACGTACCCATTATTATGAGGTAAATAGCCTTGCGAATTAATTATTTGACCATGTATGGCTTCAGGAGCTACAAACCACTCAAACTGAATATATTTTTATTAAGCTGAGATTTCCCCCCAATCATTTAGCACTACTATTAACCTTGTGGTTACAAAGATTTAACAATTCAACCCTGAACACTTGCTCATAGGAACAAATAACTAAAATATTTATTACACCGAGGGTATCTTATTAGTAGTAATTAGTGGCCTGCCTTGTTGAGTTGTATGCTGAGTTGGTTACTAGACATGTAACTTACACGGATATTTTCTCACGGCCACTTTCTAGGCCGCATTGTTCTAAGCATTAAGGTCATTGCTGGATGCTAAGACGGGAAGGTTAGACAATTCTACGAGTCTGCATTCACTTATCTCGGGTACACTGGCCATATTAAATTTTAATCATAGATACACTGCGATGCGGGCTTTGAAGCACAAGCATTCATTTTGGTTGAGCTGAGGGGGTGTTACTTTCCCCCTTTCCTAAGCACGTTTGGTGATCACGAGTGTTAATTTAATAGACTCGTCGAACCTTCCAAGTAACTTGAAGTAAGTAACCCACTTCTGCAACAAAATCAGCCGACCTATTATGTAGGTAGGCACCTATCAATCGCTGTTTCCATCTGACAATCTTCTTAGAGTTACCTAGATAAACCAAGCAAACATTGACACCATCTAGCCACCAAACACTTTTTTAAACGACAACAGTTTATTCGAGACCGACTTCTTGATCTTAGCAACTATCCCATTTTCAACCTCCATCTAGGATATCACATCTGTTCGCAATATTCACCATGTTTCTCACGCGCATGGCCGCCTTGGCCATCATCACGACCGGCGCCCTTAATCTAGCACCCTCTGTAGCCGCCGCTGCCATCAAGGGTACAGGATCTCTTTCTTCATCTGAGTTCATGCAAGAGACCGTCCTCCGCGACATGATTACCGACTCTGCTGTTGGACATGCTATGCAGCGCCGCGACGCAGTTCATCGTTGCTACGAGCCTGCCTCGGAAGTTGTAAGCAAGCTGTTTATTAAAAATGATTTTACGAAGTATACGTATAAATAGGTACACTTGCTAATACAACATATAGGGCCTAGTCCCCTCTGCTGATGACTGTCTTGACGCGATCAAGCAACTTCGAACCGTGCAGGGTGACATCACGGTCAAACTAGTTGAGGGATGCTACCACGCAGTATCCGGCAACTGCACCGCCTCCGTCTGCCCCCAGCGCATCGGCACCTCGACTATCTCCCCTGCGCTCGCGGCTCAGTATCTATCGGACTCCGTGATGAGTGAGTGCATTTCGAAGGGTCACCGCGGCTGGTATGTTGATAGGGATTATGGAATTGGAGTCTATCTTACTTAAACGTTGTGACATACGATGGCTGGAATGGTGGATTTCGTCCTAGGGTATCGTTGAGATGAGGTTCATATGGATTCATAGCAACTTGCAGATTGAAGTTATGCTAAAGGGGGTATACTGAAGGTGATATTTTAGCTATCACAAATAGCAACCAACGATGAATTATTATTATGCTCGTTTTGTTTACGCCTTAATGCTCCCCAACTCGACTGCCTCCTTTTGCAAATTACCTACTAAGTTAAGTGTACCTAGATACGGTTAATTGGAAATCATAAGTTACTCTGACATTAAATGTACGTAGGACTCAACGTAATAAACTTGGCCAGTTCAGGATAATGTCTTGAACTATGTTTCTCTAAACACATCGGCGGGACTTTGAACGGGATATGTCCCCCTGAAACTTGTCTAGTATATCTTAATAGAGAGTGATGATACCCCCTAATTTCCGATTAGGTACAATATCGTAGCACACACCGTTTGTGAGATCGCTCACGAGTGTTACAGAAATAGTGCCGTGGGAGGACAGTTAGCTACACATGCAGAATTTGATACCTCACACTGATATGATGAGTAACGCTGTACGAGCTGCGATCCCTTTATAAGTAGGGCCATGGTCCGTTATGGAGTCTGGGAATATCTGGTCGGGCCGTCTGTTACTAAAGAGATACCATATTGTACACTTTTCGGTTAGATAGATAGTTCTGTTCATAGTTGAGAGGAAATTAGATACGGTTCCTGTATACTCTGTAGATATGAGGTCTACCAATGGGTACCCTGAAGTATAGGTACATTCTGGGAAAGGGAAAGCGTCCGTGAATCTTGAGCTGCGTAGGTAGCTGTAGAATAATAACGCCCCACACCTACAACATTACCTAAGCACGATGGGAACTTGCATCAAACATATCCCACCTAATCCCACCTAATCCCACTGTACATAGGTACACCTAAATACACTATAAACAGCATCTACAATTCACATGTAAATACCAGTCAACAATACTTCAGAAACACGCCATACTGCCTAATCGAATAAACCTGCTCATACGGGCACGATGGTATTTCTACCTTCCCTTCTAAAGCAACCAATTACCCTATCTACTCTCAGGCTAACCCACCCATTCCCCCAGAATAAAGACAGCTGCTACACGTACGTACACATGCAGCGCCCGCGCGACGCCGACATGTTCGAGGACTTCTGCAAGGACAAGCTACCCGACGACGACATCTACGTGCCGCCACATCACCAGCCCATAAACCCCGAGGACGAGGACGACGTCGTGCCCGACCAGCATGCCGCCTTCGGTATACAGAAAGCTACCCAGCGCAGCAGGGAGGCTGCTTGGAAGGACCTGGGGCTTGCTGAGCTCATGGGCAAGGGGCCTGCGGTGGGGAAGTCGGGCGGCGTAGGTCGAGCTTCGTATAAGGGACTACCGCGATGACGAGCTGGTTTGTATTATTGTTGGAGGATGCGGCTTCCTTGATAATGGGCTGGAGAGGCCTATAGAGGCGTGAGTCTTGATGGGGAACTGGCGTCTCACGGCGAATCGGCGTAGTAACATAATCCTTTTTTCTTTCTATCTTCAAGATAGTCACCTATTGACTTTGGATTGCCCTAATATCGTAACTCACGCCCTGCCTTCTGACCCGGTGATATCGTGCTCTTGATATAAAATGAATCCTATCCTCGATTCCCCGACTGGCAAATCGCCCCGAACGCCGTGCAATGCTAGAACCGTCACGCCTAGATTCATCCCTTTCACTCAAAATATACCATCCCAATTTTAGCCTTTCCCCAAATACCCCTCCCTTTCCATAACCTCCGGTGCGAACTTAACCAAAAAGACTGTCCGCCCAGGCCACATCTCGCCCTCCTCCTGCTTACCGACGCTGTGCGCCGTGACGCGCGCCGGGAATGCCGAGCCATCGCACACGCCCTCGACGATGCCCGCCACGTACGCCGCGCAGTTGAGCTGGCTCATGTCCTTGGGTACGCTGATGTAGCGATTGACCAGCGGCTCATTGTCGATGATCATGTACTCGTCGGGCTTGGACGGGTCCGACGACTTCTCCAGGCCGTCGGCTGCTCGCCCGAATAGGTGCTGCCACACGTTGATCTTAATGAAATGCAGGAGCGTGATGATATTCAGCGGGCGCGTCTGTGAGCGCGGCGGTTCGCGGTATAGGAGGAGGTCGAGCAGCTTGAGGCCGATGGGGTGACCTTGGGCGTTGAGTCTAGGTTGTATTAGTTATTCGAGCTTGCCTGCTTGCTTGTCTGCTTGGTCTCGGGTAGCTAACTACCTAGCTAACTACCTAGCTAACTTACCGCTTTTCTAGGTCCTGTATACTCTCTATCTTCTTCGAGGCGTAACCTACCATTTCGGAGAAAAGGTAGGCGAAGCTAGAGCCACTGAGTTCGGCGGCCTTGGTACGGTTTAGCGGTCGGTGGTAGATTGTCTTGCCACTCGTCGGGTACCGTAGGCCCGGCTGGTCTTTACTGCTGCCCTTTACGGGCTGGAGGTTTGACATTGCTCTTGTCCGGCTGATACGTTCGTGTACGTTAGGGCATGCGATCCGGGTTACTGTATTTGGGTGCACCGTTTCGAAGAGTTTATTATGTATTTGTCGTTTCTCTGCGAATATCTATTGCTTGATCTGGATACCTATTGGTCTGGTGGAAGTTGGAAGTTCTTGGGGTAGATTTAATGTTGTAGATGTGGAGCTCTCAATTCAAGTCCGCAGTAAATGTCCAGGTACCTTTTCTATGTACTCTATAACTATATGAAAGGTACAAACTTTAAAGCTTACCTACTTAAGGAGGTACCTACCAATTACAATACCTACATTCTAACCTCGTATTGTTACATGTATGAGACTCATAGGCGCCTAGAAAAATGCAATAAATAATCTCCAAACTAGTTTAACCTTCGGGTATAATTCTAACGACCTAGGTAGTTAGTCTGATAGATAGATGCATTAGAAGTAGGTTGTAAGAGGATTAGCTGGTGTTAATATTTTATCACTAGGTTCTTAAGAGTCCGTCTTGATATGGGTAATTGTATACACTATATTCTCACAATTTCAATCTTAGCCCTTTCGAATAACTTGTGACTAACCATGCCTCCATTACTTAGCTCTTCTTCCGTCACCGTCGGTGGAAACAGAGTCATCCGAGCGTATGTCCCTGCGCCTCTCCTTTTCGAGAGGTATCCTGGGTTGATAATTACAACGCTCTCTACGACCTAGCATATGTTAATAAGTGTGTCTGACAAATAAGGGGTTATAGTAATGCATACCCTTGCAAACGGAGGTAAAGCACTCGGAATGATCATAATATCAGGCCTTACCGTTACCATCTCTCCCAACTTTAAATAGCTCGTGTCAAGCATAGCACCAGGTGGAAGTCCATCTGCCGTTCCGACCTTGGGCAGCTTCTGTCGATCTACTGGAGGGAATATAGGGAAATAATGCCTTTGTTCGATCAAATATTTAGGAGCTCTCGAGAACAAGTGGTTGTCTGGAGGCCGACTACCGACAAGCTCCTCATGCTGTAGGCCCCATAGGATATCCTGCGACGAAATTCCGAGTACCATCTCATTGATGGATAGAGTCATAGGATTGCCGATTATACGTGCGGCCTTAGGTAGCCCTAATTCTTTTTTAGGGAAAGGATCTTGGGGCCAGGATACGTGTTTCTCGATAACGTCGCGCACGGACGGTACTAACAAAATGGTGATAGTCGGATTTGATGCAACAAGTCGGTTCAGGGCTGGAGAAATCATGTACTTGAAAACTGTAGACATTGTTGCGGCATCTGGGTCTACAGCCGCGTCTTCCGGGAGATCGAAGTCACCCGTAGCAACCAGAGGGTGGTCGACGTCGATGAACGGTCCTGTTAAGACGAGGGCGTCGGCATACGTGTCTGCCGCTTGGCTGCAGAGGGCGTGAAGCGGCTCGAAGTCGAGGTTGTCATCAGCTGAATAGGGACCTGAACCGAATATTATATTTAACGGTGTCGGCTCATCGCCCGAGTCCATTGCGTCTGGGCCACCCCGAAGTTTCTCCCGGTGAGCCTCGATACCGGCAGGTGTAGATGCAGCGCTGGGTAATAGGGGCATTTCCAGTACTTCTTGAACAACGAATTCATTCCCGGATGAGTTAATACCCCTGAATGCGACAATCTGTCCCGGGAAAAACTGATAGCGACCATTAAGCTTTTGTAAGTTCAGGGGGATTCTTCTACCGCCCCCGGTCCGTCTCGAAGTCTCTAAAACAAGAGATGCTGCATTGAGCTTGCCTTCCGAAGAATCAGACGCAATTCGGCCTACAGCAACAATTTCCGTGGTACTTTGACTGGCCGCACTGCCGAATTCGCTCTCGTCTATGTTTTTGTGATCTCTTATTAATCCTAGAAATTCGTCTATCCGGTCGTCTAGAATCTCAGATGCTTCAGAAGATTTCATAGCGAGCGTTTTGTAACCTAGTTTTTTCATGTCTGAAGCTGCGGTCAATTTGATCCGCGATTCTGAATGAGGTGCAATTGGGGGCTCAGGGGGTTTAAGATGGTTATTAAGAACCTCTATTACCTCCCCTGGGTTTTGGCGATCATTAAAGGAAGTTGCTCTGTAAATTCTTAGTCTTCGTTATATAGGTATTATATCCCGATAGTGACTTACGAGCTAACATTTAGAGACTCCAATTCCCGAGCCATCGAGGGAGTATCGGGCTGATTTCGTCTCTTGGCGGCATTTTTGGAGGCGCTCTTGTTCAACTTCGCCGTAGCTGGTGTACTGGGGATCATTCCCTCTAACATCCCGTAGACATCCCCGCCACTCTTAACATTGCTGCGCGGCGTTCCAGCTGAGCGCTTTTCTGTCTTAATATGGACCTGATGCGTTCGATTGCTTCGCTCCAAGGCATCTTGAATGTCTTGTTTGAGGGCTCGTAAGCTTTCGATGGACATATTGTTCCCGTCCATGTCCATTTTTATGCAGTAGGACTCCCACTTGAAAAATAAATCCTGAGCAGATAGGGAATGTATCCGCATGATGGATCGCAGCTCAGAGACGACATCGGGTTGTAGTTCCTTATTCGGCGCACCGAATTGCTCGTTCAACTCTGCTAGATCTGCCTCCGCCATGTTCAATTGGGTATGATCTCGATTTGCGCTGTGCTGTTGGATGCCAAACAACAAGAATTATTGCCACAGTCTCTTTGGGTAATTTACTGATTTAAGACTTGACGACGCGCTTTTTCTAACTTAGACGCGTCTTAAGTTATTCGCGTTAAGTGGTTTATTGGTTTATTGGTTTATTGGTGGCTTGTGGGTCCCAGTACTTAGGTACAAGTATGATACGTAGGTACCTAAGGAACCTAGCTTTAGGGACTTGAGCTTAAGTCCTTACATAGGTACCTACATGCTCTAATTTAGGAACTATTAGCTTGGCTTAAAGCACAAACCACCAGTAATTCAACAACTCACTTAACGCGAATAACTTTTACGCGGATAAGTTTAAAAAAAAACCGCGTCATTAAGTCTTCGATTGAGTAGAGATTAGCATCATCTATATTACGGATTAAAATGTCTACGTCTAATATAGCAACAGCTCCTGAAAGTGTCGAACCTTCGGTCCTCGAAGAGAAGACTGAGGTTGGCATACTTAAGACGCCACTTTCGGCTCCCACCGCAAGTAGCACCGCACCTGAGAAGCAGGCTCTTACTGCCGACCAGACAACCAAGTATGACTGGCTTCTAAGCCGCGTGAAGGAATGGACGGAAGTTCAATCTAAAGAGAAGAGCGGTCCCTTGACTGACGGCGAGAAGATGTGGCTCACGAGGGAGTGTCTGCTAAGATACCTAAGAGCTACCAAGTGGCATGAAAAGGACGCAGAGAAGCGTCTGCAAGAAACTCTGGCCTGGAGGAGAGAATATGGAGTCGAGGAATTAACTGCAGAACACATTGGACCTGAGAATGCTACTGGAAAGCAAATCTTGCTTGGTTACGACAAGCATTGCCGTCCTTGCCATTACCTAAATCCAGGACGTCAGAATACCGAGGTCTCGCCCCGACAAGTCCAACATCTTGTTTTTATGCTCGAGCGGGTCATAGACCTCATGCCGGCTCAGCAGGAAACCCTTAGTCTCCTCATCAACTTCAAGTCAGGCAAGAGCCGCACAAACACTGCTCCTGGCATCGGCCAAGGCCGCGAGGTCCTAAGCATCCTCCAGACGCATTATCCCGAGCGGCTCGGACGGGCCATGATTATCAACAGTAAGTAACCTTACGATAATAGACTAATTATACTATTATACATGAGCTAATGTGAGAAATTATAGTCCCTTGGGTTGTAAACGGCTTCTTCAAGCTCATTACGCCGTTCATCGACCCATTGACGAGGGAGAAGTTAAAGTTCAACGAGGATATGACGCAGTTTGTACCGAAGGAGCAGCTGTGGGCGGAATTCCCAGGCGGTGAGCTGCAGTTCGAGTATGATCACGATGTCTACTGGCCTGCGCTGCAGAGGCTTTGTGCCGAGAAGCGTGCGGAGCAAGTGCAGAGGTGGGAAGCTGGAGGCAAGCAGATCGGAGAGAAGGAAGACTACCTTAAAGGCCATGACGTCCAAGGAGTGTCGCCACCCCCTGGTTATTCTACCGACACCACCCAGGGTAGTACTGCAGTTTAAAAAATCTAGGACATCACAATCCCGTAAGGAACATTGAGGACATGGGAAGTAGAACATAGAGAGGGTGTATTATATATGGATAGATTGGGTATTATAGGTATCGAGTGGGCGATATACTCCTTAGAGTACGTCTAACTCACGTAATTTATTATAAAACTAGTATGTGCACACAAGTTGCAAAGCGAAAGTAAGTCTACCTAGACTCTATTCTTCGCCTCTTATCATTTTCGTAGCGACCTGCGCCCCGTGATGAATCTCTCTTTCTTCGACTACTATAATCATCCCTATCATGTCTCCTAGGGGATCTGGACCTAGGCCCGGACCTATTTCTGTGGTGTCTATCATCTTCTCTCGGGCGATAGCTATCTCGATCGCGGTCTCGTTCCTGTTCGCGGTATCTATCGTTATCCCGTCCCCGGTCCGAGTTCTTAGGACCTTCCGGTGCGCCGCGAACGGATTTTCTCTCGCCAATCGGCACCGCGTTAGCTCCGCCGGGACCAGATGACTCTCTAGCATGATCGGATTTAAATCTGTCGTCGACATTGTATCGGTCGAATTCTTTCCCCGGTCTCGTATCACGAATATCACCCCATCGGCCTGTATCCTCGGATTTAAGGTCCCTGTACTTGGAAGCGCCTTTCTTTCCCAATTTCGTCATATCGCGCATTTGCAGCGCCTTCGGAAGCAACTCGCGGTTCTTGACGTCGTCTGCGAATCGTGAGCCCATGATGTCTCGGTTGGCCAGGCCTTCGGATTCGGCCTCATCTTGGTAGAATGCGCCCTTGTGGAAGTACTTCTGCATGTAAGTCATCTTTCCCTTCGCGTCTTTCTCTTCTTTCTGCTTGCTTAAGAAAGCTTCGTCTTCCGCTTTCCGTTCTTCTTCCGTCAGGTTTCTTCTGCGCTCGACCTCGGCTCTTTCCTTCTCGCGAGCTTCGATGGCCTCACGTTCTCGTTTGATACGTTTGAGTTCGCGTAGCTTCCATGCGGCATACTCGGCTTCCGGGTCTACGTCATCTTCGGTATCGACGTCTTCTTCCTCGTCTACAGCATCGTCCCAGTGCTTTTTCTTGGCCGCGCGTGCCGCCGCAGCTTTGCGCATTTGCTCCTCAACCATTTCGTCCATAGCTTTCTTTTTCTTTGCCTCCTCCTCGGCTAGCTTAGCCACCTCGTCTTGCTCCTGGACGGATTCTTTGCTGCCATTACCGTTCCGCTGGCTTTTAGGTACAAACTTGGGTTTTAACATTAGCCGCCGTGGGGCATCTTCTTCACTACTTTCATCCTCATCTTCATCGTCATCCTCGTCACTTCGTTCTTCGCTATCCTCTTCGCTTTCTTCTGTGACGAAACCTTCCTCGGCAGCCAGGCGGGCTGCTTTCGCAGCCTCGACGCGTCTGGCATTCGACTCCTGCTCTTGTTTTTGGCGCTCGTTGAGATCTACCTTACTGAGATTACTGATGATTTTGCCTGCACTTGGGACTTTGGGTGGTGGCGCGATTTTACGCTGGGTCTTTTGTTGCTGCTGGGTCTTTTGTTGCTGCTGGTCAACCTCGGCATCACTAGCTTCTGAACCAGATTCAGAGGATGATGATGCGCCCGTCGGTTTACCAGCGCGATAGCGGGATGGTCGCGTAGGATTTGCGGTCATGCGTTTCTGTTGCATTGGGGGTGGCATTTTGGAAGAGAGTTAGGAAATAGAATTGAAGATGCGAGTGTTTAGCTTTGATTTCTGTAAGGTATGAGAAAGCTAGAAACGTTATTCAATCTGCAAAGATGGAATGTTCATGTAAGTATAAGTGGGCCCGCGATAGTCGAATTTATCGATAAGCTGTAATCTTTTAAGTGGTACCTTCATATTCAAACCCTCCGATTAACCATTGACGATAGAATCCGAATCCGAATCGCATTGTTAATCTCTCGCGTCCTATCGTGGGATAGACGAAGTATCTCACTATGTATTTAAAGCCACAAATGATGAATTTCCCTGATGAATTTCCCTTCCTACACCAATAACGCCCAGAAGGATGGATGGTCTATCCGAATTCGCGAAGATCAAAGGATTTCATCTTCTTCTTCAACTTTTTGTAAAGGAACCTTGTCTACCAACGTAGCACCATCATAGGCTTTGTCAATCTGTGCATCATCCATCTCTTCGTCCAATTCGGATACTTCGCCTTCTCCATTCTCTACCTCTTCTTGAGACTCATTCTTGCTTGGAGCGGGTATTTGGTTGTTGATCTCGTCCCAGGCTTTGCTTCGTGTCTGAATCGTTCGAGCTTTCCCCTTGCTTTTGGCAATCTTCCGTTCCGTCCTCTCCATAATGTTTGCAGCACGATCCTGCCCTTTCTCATACCTCCTTCTTGCTTTAGAGCTCATATTCTTACTCTTGGTCGTCTTTTTCGATACTCCGGCTCCCTGATGTATGGCAAGCACAGAAGGGCGATGATCGACTGATTCGGCTGGAGGTTGGACGTTCTTCAGGGACTTATCCGTATCGATACTTGGAGAAGTAGCACGTCTTGCGGCCCGCGAGTGAACTGAGGGAGCTACGTAGAGCACATATTGTTAATTATATGAATTGTGGTCAAAGACAGAACAATAATAGAATTACATACCCTTCCTCTTCTTTGATATCACGCCTTTAGCCATGACTTCTGCGACTCGCAGGATTCTGTTAAAGTTTTCTTTTTTCTTAATGAAGATAACTTTTTTTAACCAAGTCTTAGACTTATCTGCAAGTTACCAAATAGTTGCAAAAAAAAAAAAAAAAAAAAAAAAAAAAAAGTAAAAAGTGCCCCGCAAGGTTGTCCGATAACGACCCGTTCTAAAATCTGATAAGTGGAAGTCTGGGGGAGGGACCTATGCGGCAGCTATAGCCAATCAGAGATAATATTTCTTGCAGCGACTATCGTTCACAGTTTCTTTAACTAACTATAGACATCGCAAAGTACTTTCCTCAATTTATTATATGTGCAAGTACCTATATCACCCAACCGGCTGTAGGGCTCTTAGGTGATTAGTGGGAACCCTGGAAGTTTCTTTATTCATAGACCCACTAAAATAGACTGTCACATCAGCCCTGCCTTCAATACCTACACAGTATGTACCTAAGTAGTCCCCAATTTTATCTCCTCCAATAAAAAACACACTCATCAATCATCCCGTAACAAGCATCGAACAAATGCTTTGAGAGATACCTACCTTTCGCATCGCTGTACGTGGATATAAATCTAGAGATGGGCAACTAGAGAGATATGAAAACGTTTTCTCACTGCAATGGCGACTGTCGTCAACGATAAATTACTGCCTTAATACCTCACGGAAATTATCATCACATGCTCTATCTTTCAACAACAGTCCACAAACTCCAGGATGCGCTCCCACCCTTCTAAGGCACAACCCGACCGCCTTAACAACGATTATACTTATTACATCCCCGATATCTTACTAGAAAGATTGCAACAACCCAGCGTGCTCGTGCCGTTACTCCTCCTTCTATTCACTATCTTCTACCAGTACCTCCATACTTCTCCCTTCTCGCAACCGCGGCATCCCAGAGAGCTTATCTGGGATTTTATAATAACTATAACTCCCGCGACCGTACTCTATGCTCTCGACGGCTGGCTACACCCACCGATATTCCCGACTACGGGGTCTATGTCATCCACTCAACATCGATCGCACGTCACAAAGAGTGAACTTCTTAGACGAATACTTGGGATGGATGGGCCAGGTGGCATAATAACATCCGTTGCCGACGCCGGCAGAAGAAGTCTTTCTAGTTTATCAAGCAGCACACTTGTCAAATATAAGACCGACCAACCCCCCGGCCTGGGAAACTACGATAATTCCTGCTTCCAGAACAGCATCCTTCAAGGACTATCGTCGCTAAGGCCATTCCCGTTATATCTTGCGAGAGGCCTCGAACAAGATGGTTCTGATAGTGATGGGGAGTTGGGTTCAGCGAGTTCGTTACGAGACCTCATTTCGAAGTTAACGGGCAATAATTATAATGGAAAGACCTTATGGACGCCGAAGAAGCTAAAATCTCTAGACACTTGGCAACAGCAAGACGCTCAGGAATATTTCTCTAAAATACTAGAAGAAGTTGAAAAGGAGATCATGAAAACAGTAAAACCTATTTCCAATTCACCCGGGTTTGAAGCGGTTGGTATAAGAGATGATACCGAAGACAGCCAGCACAGTGATGACAGCGGATATCAGTCACTACCAGTTCTTTCTAAAGCCGGATCGGATGCTAGACTTTTAAGAAATCCACTAGAGGGCTTAGTAGCACAACGAGTAGCATGCGTTCAGTGTGGCTATTCCAACGGGCTTTCCATGACCCCATTCAACTGTCTCACTCTCAACCTCGGACTTGAGCAAACAGAACACGATCTCTATGAGCGACTGGATTCTTACACAGATTTAGAGACAATCGAAGGAGTTGAGTGTGCCAAGTGTACACTACTAAGCTATCGGAAGCTGCTAAAAATCCTACAGTCTCGTAGAGGAGACGACGGGACCGAAACTGAATTACGAAAGCTTAATTCCCGATTAGAAGTTGTGGAACTTTCTCTTGAGGAGGACGATTTCCAGGAAACTACCTTAAAAGATAAATGCGAAATACGGAAACGAGTCAGCTCGGCTAAGACCATACAGGTAGCTATAGCACGCCCACCCCAGAGCCTTGCCATTCATATGAATCGTTCGGTATTTGACGAAAATACGGGTCGTATGTTCAAGAACCCCGCAGCGGTGCGATTCCCTAAAATGCTCGACCTTGGTCCATGGTGCTTAGGGAGTGCCAGCGGACCAGTTAGCCTTATTCAGGGAAATGTGGATTTTGCAGCCAGTACTTCTGATGACGAAGAGCAATGGGTTACGGATCCAAAGCTATCGATGGTTTCAGGTGATATGAGGCCATCTAGGATTAGTGGTCCACTTTATGAGCTACGCGCGGTCATAACTCATCAAGGACGACATGAAAATGGCCATTATGTTTGTTATCGAAGACATCCCTGTAAGCCATCGAAACTTAACGACGAAGAATCCGACTCGGGTATTGGAAGTGATAATACCGCAGGAGATGAAAGTACCCTAGTCGATGGAGGCGATGGAGACGATGGCGGGTGTACCGACTCAGATACAGATGCGAAATGGTGGCGCCTAAGCGACGAGAGTGTGTGGGAGGTATCCGAAGAGACCGTCTTGGCACAAAGTGGAGTATTCATGCTTTTCTATGATTGTATCGATCCAAACTCTGTTCTTGTCTCTGCAATTCAACATGAAAAAGAACAGGCGGAGTCGGGCGGCGATACCTTCGCATCTCCCGGAGGCCAGGATGTCGGTAATGCTGCAGAGCCAAGCAATACTGAAGGATTAGAGGATGAACCTTTGGATAGTGGCGAGCAACTTTACGATATACCCTCGACCGAAAAGCTTTCGGGGATAGCCCGTACGGACGGTATTACTAGCCCGCTAAGTGATAATAGTCTCAAGGTCGAAACCGATAGTACACAACCACTAGGATCGATTCTTACGCCGCTTCTCAAGGACGGCGAAAGGGTGGATCCTACAATTCCCCTTTATCGGCCTAATAGTTGATGACGAGCGCAAATAACCAGGCTTATCTTAAGCGAGTCTGCTGTAATAGCTGAATTATAATCGGCAATGAATGTATCATAATAGCCTACTTCTTTGCATAGCCACGGCGTTTTGGTGGAGTGGATGATGGAAAGTATTCCAAGTTTTGTATTTAACTATCATGCAGCGGATGTGTACTTATTCAGGCGTATGCGGCTTTTGGTAACAACCTCTAGAGGGTTGGTGCCGAGTTTTCTATAACACATAGTAAACAACTCGAACTCCATTGTTTGTTTATGTTTATTAGCACTAATAGGACATAATGTCCCTTCTTATGCTACTAAATGGTAGAGTGATCATTAGGGCACTGGACACACATATACATGTATATTTTAGGTAGCTACATGTAGATTTGTGTATTAGATTAGATGAAACGTAATTGACCGTACTTAAATATTGCCAAATAAATTACACATACAGTTTATTTCCATAAATCCCCAACATCTCCCGGTATTGATAGTGACTATTCGCCCGTAGTATTTAGTATGATGATAGGTTCTACCACCCGCGTAATCTCTCTGCGAAAAATTGCATAATTGGTAACATCTCGTCTCTGTTCTGAGGCATGCCATCGTCATTTTTCCTCCACTTGACTTCCCGTACATCTACAAATTCCCTCTTCAATAAGTCTATCGCATCATCATCGAAAGTCTCGCTTGACCTGCCATAACACGCTAACACTGGCGTCCGAGCCTTCTCTCGTGCGCTTAGTGTCGGTATCGTGCTCGGCGGCAAAGGCCCGCCAATCGACACGGCGCCTTTAAACGCCGTGCCTAGGATAGTCTTGCTCTCTTCGGTCACGTCTACGACTTTTTCGCCCTCGCGGAGTTTTGACGCTAGGCCGAGGGCCAGCGAGCCGCCTTGCCCGAAGCCGAAGAGCAGGATGTCGTTTGTCTCCCAACCACACTTTTCAACAAGCGTTTCACGAATTAGTTTGCCTAGCACCAAGCTTTCGGCCTTCATAAATCCCGGGTCGGGATCCAAGTCCCCGGTCGCCGGCGACAGGGCCAAGTCATCTCCCCAGTGGAAATGCCGGGTTGGCTGCGCGGCTTCAGCGGGTGAGAGACCTAGGAGAGACGGGGGAAGGGGAGACACGCCGCGCACGGAGATAGCAAGGACGCCGGGGAGGTTTATGTTTTTGGCGAATGTGACGAAAGAAGCTTCGGAGTCGCCGAGGCCGTGGAAGAGGATTAGGATGGCGGTGGTGGTTTCCGGGACTTCGGGGAAGATTAGGGATGTGTGTAGGGAGGGGAGTAGGTGCTCGAAGTCTTCTGATTTGGGTATTCTGGTTGGCATTGTATTTAGGTGATTAATTGGACACTCATGGAGATCATGTTAGTTTGGAGGCCATGGAAGCTGGTAGACTGGTAGGGTAATTTATTGGTAGATTGTCCGGAAGCCGGTGATGCAGGAGACGCGCAGCGACGTTCTAAACCGGAGCCGGGGCCCACCGGTACGCGGAATACATACAAATACTTGATACATTATGTACAGGAATAGGTATGTACCTATATATGTAGAGTACCTACCTACTAGTGCGAGATACTTGTGTACCTATGACGTGCAGATGACCTACACACCTCATGTACCTAAATTAATAAGTGTCCTTGACTTGTCCAATAGAAGGCTTCTATTTCCTTAACTTCTGAACTTCATAAATCTCTTTACCTATTCTTGACTATCAAAAGCATGAAAATCGTAGTAGGTAGGTAATTTGTATATAGCTCTAATCCTAGGAAGCGGGTTACTACATGGAATGGGTGATAACCCAAATTGGTAGTTCAATCTCCGACTGGCTTGGTACCATCTTCTTGGAACTAATCATCTGCACAAACCAGAGGACAACTGTTAGACACGTGCGTATCACGCTGGTAATACCATCTTGGTTTTACGATTGTTACCCGTAATGTTATGGATATGCTTGCCTTATAGTCTAAAATAGTACTGATTGAGAATTGTCATTTATACAGGGCTATTAGTAGATGTAATTATATATCATTGTCGACCATGGCTGTCAAGCTGAACGAAGGGTTATTTTTTTATGTGTTACAAGAAGTTGACGTTTAACAAGACAACATTATGCATATATCACAAGCCATTCTTATATCTCTGGTATCCAGAGTCTGTAATGCGACAACACGATATCTAGCACCGGTCCAGGACATAAATTTCCCCAGTAGCGAAAGCGCGACGAACCCTCTTCAATGGCTAGGCGCCAATGGGCCATGGTATGCCGGTAAGATTCTAAAATACCAATATAGCCTCGATTCTACTCATCATATCATTATGACTAGGCCCAAATGTATTCGGAATTTCACCTGAGCCTCCTCGAAACTGTCATGTCGATCGTGCTGCCTACGTCTCAAGACACGGTTCGAGGTACCCAGACCAAGGAGCTTATAATGGATGGGTATCCATGTACGAACGGGTTAGACCCCAAGCTGTTCAATATATTGTCCTACTATTAGCTAAAATCTCGTATCCAGTTTCAAACCAGCGACTATACCGCGAGTGGAAGCTTATCATTCCTCTCAAATTGGCGGCCGGTCCCCGAAGACCCTGCATCGCAGATTGGCATGGAAAACCCTACTGGTGTAAAGGAGGCCCTCGATCTGGGTTATACACTACGTACAAGGTTTATTCTAGTATTGTGACATTGCTCGTATAGCATTTAGGCTGATGACAGCAGGTATCCGGCTCTTTACCAAGAGGGAAACGAGTTCATGGTGTGGGCCAACAATTATACTCGGGTCCTCCAGACAGCATCTATGTTTATTCGCGGCTACTTGGGGGTCGCCGCTTCTCAGAAGGGGAGCATAATCTCGGTGACGTCTAGAGGCTTCCCGGCTGGTGTTGGGGACTCACTCGCTCCCTCGGATATGTGTCCAAATTTCAAAGATTCGGAGGGGGGAGAACACAAGTCAACCTGGGATGAAATTTGGATCCCGCCTGTTCAGTATCGTCTACAGAAGTTGATAAAGGGTAACTTATCTTTGACAGCTGCTGATATCGCCCAGATACCCTATCTGTGTGGTTTTGAGAGTCATATCACAGGTCGACTTTCGCCCTGGTGCGATGTGTTCACTGATAAAGAGTTGAAGCAATACGAGTACTCTAACGATCTCCGTTACTACTACGGTATTGGTCCAGGTACAGATCTTCCCAAGAAGATGATGACGCCTTTCTTGAGTGCACTCGTTAGCATCCTGCAAAACGGATCTACTATAGGCATAGGGGTAGACGGCTCAACTTTCAACATCCCGAAACTTCTGGTGTCATTCTTGAATGACGGGCAGTTAACCGAACTGGTAACTGCAAGCGGCGTTTTCGATAGACAACCCGCGTTGTCTGCTATCAGGAAGGACAATAATAGACTGTGGGTAGGGTCACGGTATGTGTCAATGAGAGGTACGATCGCTTTCGAACGTTTGAACTGCGTTGTAAAGAGTGATAATGGACCCAAGGCTTACCCCTCGGGCGGGTTTAACGAGACATATCTCCGCATTCGCTTGAACGATGCAGTGTATCCAATTCCTTCCTGCGATAACGGCCCTGGATCATCCTGCAAGCTGAGCGACTATGCTAGATATGTCGCGGAAAAGTATGCTGCCGAGGGGGATTGGATAACGAACTGCAATGTTACAGTTACTGAGGATACGCCGACAACGGTGAAAGGGGCAAGCTTCTTCACGGATATCAGCAAACCGTGGGTTAGGCGGTTAGCTGTTTGAAGGCTAGGATTTCTGGATATGGTACTGTAGTTAGAGTATATTTATCGCCCCTAGGCCTTTCGCCTGAATTACTAAGGGACCAAGAATGAGTTGACGTCTTCAAGGAGGCTTAGTAGGTAGTACTCAGGATGGCTTTGATGGTGTTTTGTCTATTTTAGGTATCTATCTTATGTGTATACTTTATAAGAGAGAGAGAGGGAGGGAGAGAGAGATATATATATATATAATAGATGAGTTAGCGGGACACCTCTTCATTAATGCAACACTTAAACAAATGGTTATTATTTGAATATAGATTTAACTACCTAATTAACCTAGTAATAGTATAAGTTGAATGTGAAGCTTGTACTTGATATGAGATAGTTACATACAGGTACATGCAGTGGGTCTAACAGGTACCGCATTTACAGGTATCTCTACATGTATGTACATGTAGGTGCATAGACCAATTCTACGTAGGTACGTTAGCCCCGCCGGTCAGGGTCAAGACTACCTAACTTTAAACCTTAAAACAAACGATTACCTTAGCAACTTTCGTGTCGCATATCGACGACACTTTTTAGCCTTCTTCGTTACTAGTTACAACAACAATGACCTATCACATAGCCGACGAGTAGACCTCATATTCACGATAGGTCTAACCCTACAGAAGTTACGAGAAAAGGTATTAGACCTTACGAAACCTACGAAGTCTGCTAGCATGCTATAGCGCCTAGCGCAGTAGCTTCTACTAGTAGTCCGCTTCAGTTCCTTCCCCCAATCGAATGTATAGTCGCGATCATGTCCAATCGATACGGCGGGTCATACCGCAACGGTAACGGCTACGGTTCCGCTGCGAGGCAAGACGAAGAATATGATCCCTTTGGCGATGGCTATACAAGCGATCGCTTTGGCACCCCTCCTCAGCAGCTAAATCCCCGAAGACCGCCCCTTGAATCCATTCGGAGTGCTGGTTACAGCTCCTCGACCTCTAGAGCTCAGCGCACCAATGAAACAAACGCTGAGAAGCAGATAGGCCAGGTACTTGAGCTCATCAAGTCCGAATGGCCTGCTATGGTCCAGGATGATTGCATACCTGTCTCGTTAGCGCTTCAGTTGCTAGATAACAGTTCTGTTGGCCGAGCACACGAATATAGGGATTTCAAGAAGACACACCAATATTTACAGGACTCCCTTAAAAACATCGTACACGAACATCATCAAGGCTTCAACAGTTCTATTGGTACTTTCCATAAGATACAAGGGAGCATACAAACGTCCCAGAAACGCGTACGTGCTCTGAAAGAATCTCTGGCAGCGTCGAGAACGAGTCTCTGTGCAACAGATCCTGAACTCAAGAAATTCTATAAGACATCGCAGATGTACGATGATGTTCTACAGACATTAAATGAACTGGAGGACTTGAGAACGGTGCCGGACCAGTTGGAGGCTAGAATATCGGAAAAGAGGTTTCTAACTGCTGTCGAAGTCTTGCAAAACGCACTGCGAAAACTGCGGAAGCCAGAGCTCGACGACATTGGAGCTTTAAGTGACCTGAGAAGCTACCTTGCTAACCAGGAAACCGCTTTGATGGACATTTTAATCGAGGAGCTACATGAGCATCTTTATCTGAAGTCGCCCTATTGCCAAGAGCGATGGCAGAACTTGGCCAAGAATCAGGGTGCCTATAATGAAAACTATACCGACCCAGGCATTCTAACCCCATTTCATTTAATCCTAGATACGATGGATCTTGACCGCCCGGTAACCGAAGACCCAGCAAAGAATCCTGAAGCGGATACCTTTTACTATATTAGTCTTGTCGTTGAGTCATTAAATAAGCTTGGCCGGTTGGAGAGCGTGGTTGATACCTTGAAACAACGGCTCCCGGTTGAGTTGTTTTCCATCGTAAACGAGACAATAAATGAAGTTGATCAGAGGCATCCTAGCTCTTTAAGAGGCGGCTCAGGTAACGCACAGGGCCTGCACATATATGGCAGCAGGGAGACGCATATGCGCGCCGATGTCATATATGACCTATTATGGACATTGTATGGTAAATTTGAGGCTATTGCTGAGGGGCATAGAGTTTTCCACGAGGCTATTAAGGCGCTAATTCGACGAGAGGGTGCTGGTAACAACAGCTCTCTTCTTGGGAGCTTTAAGGAGCTATGGAATCTATATCAGAACGAGATACGCTCCCTTTTGCACAACTATGTCACAACGGATGCGGATGTCTACCAATTTAACACCTCCCTTAGGCAGGGTATGATGCTTAATGGTAACAAGGACACATCTAGGGAACATCTATTCAAGTTCTCCGAGGCGGATCCTAAATCCGTCGAGATGACTACCGAATATGAGGCCCTGGATGGGATCATACGAGCTGCAGTTCCTGGTCTCACATCTGCGTCTCAAAAGAAACAGGCTTCAGACAAGAAATCATCAGCTGGAAGAGAGTCGAGGAAGAGTGCATATACTGGAGCTTTTGATAATAGAAATGCACCTGGCTCCTATAAATCGCTTGTGGAGCCAAGTGTATTTAACATGAGTCTTTTGTTACCGCCGACTCTGGTATTTTTGCAACGCTTGAAAGTCATCGTCCCCCCAGGGTCGGACCTGGCTGCAAGCACTCTAACATCCTTCCTTGATAATTTCCTGGTTAATGTTTTCCAGCCACAGTTGGATGAAACGCTTAGCAAGTTGAGTGATACAGTATTTGGAGAAGTAGATTCGTTCCAGCAGGACTCGGCCTGGGGCTTGGTTGCGCGTCGTCCGGTCTTCAAGGGAACAACAGCATTTTTTGCTGTTATTACTGCTTTCTGTCGCATGCTTGGGACGATTCCCCATGATCAGGCGCTGAGCTCTTTAATTATCTCCCAAATGGCTAGATACTATGATAGATGCCTTGCGTGGTTTAAATCACTCGTCGCCAAAGCGCAAGAAGCTACTACGATCCCACAAGCGTTGCGATACTCTGCAGAATTGGCTACTAGGGATGGGGACATACAAGCTACGGTCAAAAAGCTGTGGACTTCAGAAAATCTCGACTATGCGTTGATTGAAAAAGAAGTTGGCCTACTTATTATGCACGCCAATGAGCGATCTCTTGAGCCAAGCGATATCATACAAGACCGCGATGTCATCTCATCTCTGTGTCTCCTATACACTAGCATGAAATGGCTCTCGGTAAGAATTATCGGCCTGCGACATATTACCAGATTCGACACGGATTCTTCTCAGCCTACTCTACCGAAGAACCAGAATCGCCGGTGGACCCTCCTGAACGACCCCAGCAAAACTAATAGTGAGGATCAAGGACCCATATACCTACCGATGACACAGGAAACTGTCCAGTAAGTTCTTCAAGCATCCCCGCCGTTCTCTATCGTGGCCACTTGGCTCATCATCTTGTAGGTCGTTTGATAATATAGTATCCTCTTATGAGGAATTCGCTGGTATGGTACTCCTTACGTTGCATATGGAAATCCGATGCCGTATTATCCATTCTCTCAGGGTAGCACTCTCTCCCGAAACAGCACCATACGTTTTAGGTGAGCAGGAGATTAAAGAACCCGACCAACCGGTTCTGTCCTTGAATTCCGAACTCGTTGCGTACGATGAGACGGTTGTGCGCTTCCTCCGGGACAAGGAGATCGCGTTTGTGCGGACAGGCTTGGGCCTGCTTATCAACACATATTTAGTATCCAACGCGCTCGCTACGCAGCCTATGAACTTGCGCGGGTGCGAACGCATGCAACTAAACATCCTCGTGCTCCAGCAGAACCTCAAGAATATCGAGGCTGGCGTAGATCTCACGCGTGCGGCAAACTACTATAGCTTATTCCAGGATGGCCCAGATCAGATTGTCGAAAAGGCTAAGCACGATAAGGAGCGCGAGGCGAAGGGATCCCCTGTGCCGGGAGCGGAAAGGTTTACTTACGATGAGCTTAAAGCTCTCGTTGAATTATGCTACAGTGAGCAGCTTGCTGATCCGGAGAGGGGTGTCGCGGCTGCTGCTAAGAGAAAGATGGGCGAGAAAGTGTTAGCGCTGAGCGAGTTTATGTGGCAAAGTTAAGACGTTGGCATATCATATTTACATTACAATTAAGGGCGGCGTGTTGCAAGCCGGTGTTTTTGGAATTGTGATTTATAGTATACTATGATATCGATCGATTTTTTTGGAGCGGAAAATATCTATCGTGTGTATAAAATTACCTGGTCTGTATGTTCAAAGGCTTGGCGGATTAGGCCGGTACCTTATCCCTAATGAAGGATGTAGACAATCTTGGAGATAGCGATATTACACGAAAACTGTATGCAATAGAGAGTAGCACGGCTATTATCTGGCCACGTAATGTGCCTGGCTTTATTCTCGTTTACCATCAGCGATTATTGAACAACTTTCTCACGTCTGACATATTACGAATGCAGTGTTTGGTTTTTTTTTTTCCCGGGTGGGATAGGAGGGCTCAACATTTGAGAAATATGGTGGCTTGGAGACTCATTTCAACTGGGTTAGGTGGCGGTGGGATATTTAATCAAGTAACTGGTGTCACGTTAATTGGAAAATTCCATGATACGAGAAAACACGAAGATTTTGCAATGACAGAATGGGTGAAATGTAATACTCGTAGCTTCCGCCAAGTAGATATTCCTCCTGCGGCTATCGCCAACACCGACTCGCCGAGAGGTGCAGCTGTAAAGAACCCCTGATAAGTTGACTGGCTGAGGATCGACGCTTGTTGCGAGATCAAACCTTGGCACTTCCCCCGATGTGGCGGCGCGTATCTGCAAAGCTTGTCTAGTATTGTATTTGGTTTCTGTTGGTAAAAATAAAAAATAGAAAAAGCTTCGTGTGCCATGTTATTAGATGAATAGATGTCATCTGAAGCTGATCGACTCGACTTATGTAGTTATACATATATATATATATATCTCTCTCTCTTTTAACGGTAGAAGCAGTGATAGTTTAGGTATATTTAACCCTGAGCTAGCAGTAGTTAACTAGACTAAAGAAA